TGCTTTTCAAGCATATTTCTGAATAGGAGGTGGGAGGCAAGTGAAGATGGAAACCTCGTCGATGGTGTTAAATGAGTGATGGAGTTCTAGAAACAGCACAACACGTGGCTTCACAGCCTCCAGGTTAGAGCAGGTGGGCCAAAGTATGCCTGCAAAGTTGCAGCGACATGGCCTGGCAGGGCGAGGAGCAAGTTCTGGAAGCACTGCCCTGTCTGCTTTCTCACTGATCGTAACTGTTAGGCACAGTGGGCGTCATGGCACCATCTAAGAATGATAACTGACGTAGGTTCAAAGTGGAAGGTCAGAGAGGAGAGGAGCAAGATCCTCTGGTTTAAAATTCTCGGTCCTTTTCTCTCCTTGACTATATTCATTGTCTCTGGTGGCAAACTATAGAAACAGCTCAGCTTGTTTTTTACTTGTTGTTGTTGTTGTTGTTAAGTGCCGTCGAGTCGGGTCCGACCCATAGCAACCCTGTACAGGGTTTCCGAGGGTGTAAATCCTTACGGGAGTAGAAAGCCTCATCTTTCTCCCGCGGAGCAGCTGGTAGTTTCGAACCGCTGACCTTAAGGTTCGCAGCCCGATTCGTAACCACTACGCTACCAGAGGGAAATAAAAAGTCTAAGTATGGACATTAGGTACAGCTGGATCCAGGTTCACCGATAATGGCCTGGGGACTCCAGATCTGTCTTTTTGACATCAGTTCCAGTCACGCTGTCTCTAAGAAGTGGTAACAATGGCTATCAGCTTCTAGCAGTCTCCAGAATAAAACCTCTTGGCTAGAGTTCTAGAAAAATAATTCCCAAGTTTGGCTCTTGTTGGTCTTTCTTAGGATGGTGTCCATCCCTGGTCCAATCAATATAGCCAGGCAGATGGGGCTTTTATTGGCCCGGCCTGCCTCGGGTGCCCACCCTGTTGAGCAGGGGGCAGAGTAAAGCCCACCAGAATCACACAGAGGAAGGTCCAATGTGAGGAGTGTTTCATGAACCGTGGGAGAGACAGCAGACAGGAAGAGCAGGTGCAGCCGCAGTATCATTTGTGCAGAGCTAGGGAACGGGTAAAAAGTTTGTGCCTTATGCTGTGACCAAATGGCATGCCAGAGCCGTGCCAGGCTTGTGATGAGGCTGTGTGAGCGATCAGACACAGACCCGCCTACCTGTGACCCAGGTCAAACCTTCAGCGTGTCATCACAGGGCACGGTGGGGCCACAGGAGACCAGTGGTATTTCCCCAACACTAAATTATTCATCTTAAAACATGTTAGGAGAACTGAGTAGTATCTAATCTGTTGTGGCAGGGCTGATGAAATGAAATGCAGATAGGTCTCTTGTGATTGTGAGGGTTGGAAATGCAAAGATAGACGTTTTGTAGCAAGGAGGGGAGTGATTAACTTTTCAGGCTAGGAGCAGAGGTCCCTGGGACCACGAAGGGAGAAGAGCAGAGAGTGGGACCCTACCCAGACCCAGAGAAGCAGTGATGCCAGAGATGGAGGCAGAGACAATAACATGGAGAGATGGAGCAGCTGGGGACTTTAGACAGGGAGAGGGGCTGTGTGCTGATGACCGGAGGCCAGGCTTGTAGGGTACCCTTTGGTTGGTTGATGATGCATGGAGGGGATTGTAACCATGGCAATGAAATTATACACGATAGGATGAATGTAAAACTTTTGTTCTCCCATATAAACGATCCCATAATTCACAGTAAAACAAAAAATATATATATATATTAGGAGAAAATACACAACCATGGATATTATTGCTAGGACAGGTGGAGGTAAAATTTATAAAGAGAATTGACTTAAAACACTAACTACCATGGTCTACAAATATGGCCACCATTCTGAAAGTGGGAGATTGGAGAAGCTCTTGGCTACATGACTTCCTTCCCCCTCCTCCACATCTGATGCTCCGCATTCTATACTAATCATCCCAATCAATCCAGAGTTTGTGCCTTGGGGTCAAGTCCAAGGTTTTATGCAAATTGCTTCCTTGAGTTCTCTGAAGAACACTGGAAGCAGATTTTCTGTCTCTAATTTACAAAGCTCCAGTAGTGTAGTGGTTACAAATCAAATCGGGTCACGGTCAGCAGTTCGAAACTACCAGCTGTTTCGTGGGAGAAAGATGAGGCTTTCTGCTTCCATAAAGATTTACAGCCTCGGAAACCCTGTTCAGGGTTGCTATGAGTCGGAACCGACTCCACGGCACATAACAACAACGGCTGCTAAGTGGTCAAGTTGGATTTGAAGGCCGCTCTATCCCAAGCTCACCTTCCCACCACCTCCTCAGAGCCTTTGTTGGGGGTGGGGGAAGCCCAGAGGCATAATGTTGGGAAGAAGTTATGGTGTGCCTTGGTCTTTGTGTGGGTCATCCCTTCAGCCTTCAGTTCCAGCTACATCCCTGCCCTGGGTCTCTGGTTGGTATCTCCCCAAGAAGACACAGAACTTTCTGAAGTTCCAGACAGGGCCTGGCATTATCAGCCTGGTGACTTGCACCACAGTGAGACATCCAAGACCACTCCTCTTAAGTGTGCTTGCTCAGTTCTTATCTGGGCTGGAATCAGGGGTCCAGATTCCCTTTTCTCCTGTTTGGTTCTACTTAGAGAAACTTCATCATTGGGCTCACCTTAAGTGTTCAATAATGGGGAAGCCGGTGGATGGGGTTCACCACACATGGGTGTTGCTTGGGAAGCAGCACACACAGTCAGATAACACTTTGCAAACCAATTTTCATCCTTCCCGCTCTCTGTCCCTGTTTTCTTCTTCAGGTAAATGAGCACATACACCTACTCTCCCACACACCATCACACAAGTAGCAAAGGCAAATGAGCAGCTACCTCCTCTCTCCTGAAGTTCGTCCCTCAACTCTTCACGGGTTTTCCTACCTTGGGTGTGTTATTCAGTAAGAAGCGGAAGACAGTGGGAAAAGTGGGGAGGGGCCCACAGGGTGAAACTGCCATGTCCAGGGGGCAGGGATCCTTGGGGACAGCTGTGGGCCCTGAAGTCTTTGTTTCTTTGAGCAGAAAGAGGCAGACATGAGCAGGTGGTGCCACAGTCCTGTGTACTTTTTTTCCAGGCTCCAGAGTCAGCATCATGCACCACTGGGCCATCCCCTGCCTACTGCTGATGCTCCCAGGTGGTAAGTAGTGGCCCCAAGGGTCTGCTGGGAGGGGAGGGGACATACCCAGCTTCTCTTTACTTGAGACTGGCAAGAACGAAACTTAACCATGTCCCAAAGTAACCCTGCCTACATGCTTGGCACTTCAAGTCTCCCTGGGGGATGAGAGACTCCAGCCTTCATCTCCAGCACTTCTTGCTTGGCTGCCTCCCAACCCTCAGAATGAGGAAGTCCTGCCTTTGGTCTAACCTCAGTTTCTACTTATGTAATGACTCTCCCTGGAGGAGGTTTTGCAACCATCACTGGCTTCTCAGCAGGCACTTGTGACCTGAGGGCCGGGGTGGAGGTTAAACAGAGCCAGAGCCAGGGAAGGCAGCTGGAGAAGTCACAGGTCAGAGAGAGAGGATATAGACTCGGAGGACAGGCTGAAGGCATAGGCGTGAGTGTGAATGAAGGCTGGGCTAGGTAGGGGACTTGGTCAACCACCACAGCTGATTCATCTGTGTTTCTCTGATTTTTACCAAAAGACTCAGCATCTCAGATAGCGGTTTCCAGAAAGTGATGTCGGCGCTTTTGTGTTCCCTTGCTAAGTGGCCAGTAGGCCTGTCCTGGCTTTCAAAGGGCTGTAGCTCACTCACCACAGTTCTGCATCGATGAGTGCAAATAGGGCTCCCGAATCCCCAGGTGGTACCAGCAAGGATCATGCTCAATGGCTAGCCCAGAAGTTTGGGGTTTGGGTCTAGCTGGAGGCCTCATGGGAGAAAAGCTTGGTGGAAAAGATCAGCCGTGGAAAACTTTGTGGTACACAGTTCTGCTTTGACACACACGGGGGTGCTGTGAGTAGGTGTGTCCCGGGAAGTCCACACTGCCCTGACGCCCCTTATTCAGCTACAAAATGGAGGTTCAGAGCATATAACGGGAGGCTACCCTACCTTCTGTATCTGCCTGAGTCCTTTGGCCTTACCCACTTGGCTGTCTATTAGGACTCAATGACGTCAGCCCCTGGGGGGGAGGAGTTAGCATCCCCAGCTCAGTAGCAGGGTTTTGGGTTATCCGGGGTGTGTGGAGGTCCTGGAGGGGTCTCTGCCTCCTCTGTGCCAGCTTGGTCCCCAGTATTTCGTCCAAAGCTTGGGGACAAATTCATCCCTTGGGGCCTTAACCCCAGCTGGAAATGGCAGCTCCTTCCCTGGTTCCAAGAGCTCAGAGAAGACACAGCCACACAGTGGCTCCCGCAGCCCTGAGTTTGAGTTCTGCCCACAGTATCACCCCACTTCCAGAATAGGCTCCAACTCGGGCTGAGTGGGGAGTGTCCCCCGAGATGAGCATATCGGCTGTGTGTGTGGGCAGAGAGGACGGCCGCACAGACGAGGTCATTCCATGTCTGGGTGAGGGTCCTGGCAGCTCAGACCAGGAGAAACCAGAGGCAAGGCCGTGTTGGCCAGCCCGGTGGGCTCAGTGATAAAATGGGAGCAGGGTATTTCCAGCAGAGGTTCTTGGTTACCAGTCCCAGTTCTGACCCAGAGCGAGATCCACGTGGGGGAAAAGATGAAAAAGCTACTTCAAATACATCCACTTTCAAATGGGGCACAATTCCTAGTACACAGCGGGGGTGGCGCCTGATTGTATAAAGTAAAACTAACACTCCCTCGTCAGGCTTCCCTTCCTCTGTCTTCATGCAGCCCTGACCCTCTCTCAAGGGTTTGCCCTATGTTGTGGGGCACTCAGGATATGCCATGCTAGCTGGGAGAAATGCCAACCAAGCAGGGAGGGGATGCTGAGCTGGGGACACACTTATATTTCACATTATTGGCGAGTTTCCCATCTGCATAACCAGTCTTGAAATTTGGGAACTCAAAAGGAATTCCCAGATGACGAGGACCTCTTGCCCTAGGCTTATATCTTAGAGACCCCCAGGACCCTGGACCATCCAGGCCCCCAGGCGCCCCCTACTCCCTTTCACCCCCACGCCTGCAGCCCTGGCCTCTCTCTCCCTCACTCTCCAGCCTGGGGCTGTTCAGATCTTGCCTGCTATACCGACTACCTCCAGACAGTCACCTGTGTCTTGGAGATGTGGCCTGTCCACCCGCGCACACTCACCCTAACCTGGTAAGTGAACATGGAGAGGAAGCAACAAGGGAGGGCTGACTTGGGGTTGGAACACAGGAGACACCACTTGAGCTGGGGCTACGGTGTGTCCGTAAAATGACAGCTGCCCTTTCCCAGACGACGACTCTGAGGTGGGATTCACCATCCCCACCTGATAGATGAGAGATGTGTTGTCCCACTCCAGAAACTATTCTCTTCACATTGGCTGGGCAGTGGTTTGAGACCCCCAGGACAATCAGCCCCCTATGTGATCTGTTCTGAGCACTGTGTGCTAGTTACCCTGTCAGCGGCTTCCTGTAGATTCTCACTTCCAGTGAGAAAAGTCCCATTACTCCCATTTTACAGATGGGGGAAATGAGGCTAGCTCAAGATCATACAGCCTGTGATTGACAGGTGTGGTTCAAACTAAGGTGGTCCGATGACAATAGCCATGAGCATAAATGCAGCTCAGGCAAAAGAACATCTGGATTTCACTCCAGCATCCAGTCACGTAGAAACATTGGTGAAGCTCTTGCAGAGCACAGACAGACTGACCAAGTCCCTGAACTCTTGAAGTGGGCATACTGTGCGAGAGAGAGACAAACCTATAAACAACAAACTGGAAACTTTCCTACAAAAGCGCATGGGGCCTGTGGTCAGGGCACCCTCTCAGGACCAGCAGGCGGCCAGGGAGCTGGGGAAGGGCCTTCCAGGAAGAGGGCATGGTAGGGAGAGGTGAGCCTGATGGGAGGGAGCTGGAGTGAGGGGGGGGGAGAGTTAACTTAGCAACTAAGGCAAAAGAGCTGCCTGGGGGCCAGAGTCCATTGTCCGGGCACTGATGGTTTTAGGTAGGGGGGAGACCATAGGATTTTTAAGGCTCTCACTGGCAGCTGTGTGAGAGGGGAAGATGGCAGGCGAAGCAGGGTCCGCAGCCAGGCAGCTGACCAGATGCATTCACGATAGCACTTATTCAAAACAGCACACTTGTAACAGAGAATTGAGTCCACACTTCCACCTCGCACACATCAACACTGACCTTGGAGATGCTCAGGAAAATGTGTGTAGGGAATTACGTATCTGGTAAACTCCTATACATACTTCAAAACCCGTTATGTCTGCCCAGGGGTGCAAACAAATCTAAAACATTCCCCCCAACCCTAGTCCACTGGTGCTCTAAAAATCTCATCAAAGCAGAGAAGTGGGTCCATTGGGCTTCCATCTCTGCCCTCAGCTCAGGCAGCGAGTAGGTTTTTTGTCCATGTTGAGGGGAGGGAGGAAGGCCTGAAATATTTGTGGTCCTTCTAGAACAGAATGACCCCAAGGGCTGTGGCCCTACATGAGGCATGCAAGCTGAGCCTGGAACCATCATGCAGGTGGGAGGGTGCCTACCCTGACCAGGTAGCTCCCAGCCTGAGGTTCTGGCTCTTGTCCTGCCACTGTGGGCTGAGCACCGCCGGCCTCCAGCCATGACCAGCTGCTCTGTCCTTGAAGGCAAGACCTGCATGGAGAACTGGAGGATGAGGTCACCACCTGCTGCCTCTACCTGTCCACCCACAACGCCACCCACGCATGGTACACGTGCCACATGGATGTGTCCTACTTCCTGGCCGATGACATTTTCACTGTCAACATGACGGACCACTCAGGCAAACAGTCCCAGGAATGTGGCAGCTTTATCCTGGCAGAAAGCAGTGAGTAGCCCTTGGTCCCCAGAGCTGAGGAGACCCCAGGTGAGTCCTGGGCCCTCTCTTCCTACCCTCCATCAAAACAGATGTGTCCTATGCTTTACCTTGAATTCGGTTTCTTGTTAACAAGGCAACAGAGAACTGACCACATGCCCTACTTTTTACTAAAGTGTGATAGGTTGGTATGTTTGGACCTTAGCCCAAAGATAGGCAGCAGAGGTATGGAAAGGAGTTTTGCTGGAACCTAGGGCTTCGGTTCTGACATAGCCTCTCTCTGTGGTATTGGACAAAGCATGCCCCTCCTCTGGAATCAGTTTCCTTATCTTGTAGCGTGAAAGCCCTTTAACCCTTACCTTCTAAGCTTCATGCTGAAGGGAAGGAGAGGCCTCCAGGACTAGCAACTGCTGCTGGAAAGGGTTGGAGCCAAGAAGGCGTGTGTGTTGTGGGGGGGTGTGTATTGTGTGCATATGCGGTGTTTGTATTGCATGGTGTCTGCTGTTTTGTGTGAATAGTGTATAGTGTATGTTGTGTGTGGGGCACGTGTGTTACATTTGGGGAAGTATGGTAGGAGGTTCGTTGTGTCTGTATTGTGTTGTGAATGTGATGGTGTCTGTTTTGTGTATGCTGTGTGTATGTTGCATGTGTTATATTCTGGTTGTGTCTGAGGTGTGTGTGATGTGTGAGGTTTGTTGTGTTATATGCTGTATTCACAATACACAGGAATAGTGTGGTGTTTCTGTTTTATGTTGTATTCTATGGTGTGTGGGAGGGGTGTGCGCATGCACATAGTTATGCTGTATGGTGTTCATGTTGCATGTTATGTGTCTAGCGTGTTATTATGGGACGTGTGTAGCAGGAGTGGGGTGAGAGGTCAGTGTCCAGCATCATGCAAGCACACACTGCAGCATTGTACCCATCCCCTAGGGCAGGAGTTTCTGTCCCTAGATCCCCATAGAGGACAGAATATGCCATTTCTGTGATTTACTATCAGGGCCAGGTTTACACCGCTTTGCTGGTGACATACCACAGATGGTGTGAGTAAATGCTACACACACACAGCCAAACCCACACGTACTCATAGGCACACAAACCCAAGCTCACATACACACACCCCCATAATCCCCCCCGCCTCCCAGATAAACTCAAAGCTGTCCCACCAACCTCTGGCCTAGTGGCGGGAGACCCTGACACCCACAAAGCCTGACACAGCTACATGGATTCAAAGTGCTGAGCTCGTTCCCCCACACATTTCCAGTTCCTTTGAGAAACCACTGGAAGCTCCTTTAGTTCATTCAACAACTGGGTACCAGTGTGGACACAGGACTGCTGCGCCCAAGGACAAGAGTCCAGAGAGGGGTGTTGCTGCCATCTCCTGTCATACCCAGGACAGCAGAATGAAATGTCCAGCACCAATTTCCTGGTCCTGGGTCCACTCAAGTCCTCTGTGACAGCCACCGTGTAGTGTGTGTGTCTTCTGGCTTAGGAGACTTGCCTTCTAGTATGATATCCAACAGGATTTTCAGTTAATTTTTGATAGCTCACCAGGCCTTTCGTCTTAGTCTGGATGCTCCATTGAAAGCTGTCCCTGCTGCTATCTGAAATATCGGTGGCCTGGCCTCCAGCATCTCACTTACAGGGTAAAATGTGTAGACTGGGAGATGTTGGCAGCGGAGGAGGTAGAGGATAGTTGCCTCTCACACATTAAATCACTTATCATTCTGTCTGTAGTTTGGCGCTTGTGAATTTGATGCCCCAGGAGGTAGGAACTGGCTGTGGTTTTTCAGGAGCGTAAACTAAGGCATGCATCACACAAACTTGTGGTGGAGCAAAAGTGGAACACTAGGTCAGCTTCTGACCTCTCCTGTGGGCATCGCTGATGGCTTGAAGCCATGGGTCCAATCTCAGCTCTCCACTGACCAGCAGAAGCCCCGGGGCAAATCCCTCAACTGTCAGGAGCTGTCTGAGTGACAGTCTTCAGGTCCCCGTGGGTGTCGTGTTGCTGCGTGCAGGGCAGCACAGGGTCCTTAGGGTGGTTTCGGACGTTTGGGGTTAAAACACACTCAGGCAGTCATTTAGAACCGAAGTTGAAAATGAGTGCATCTATTTAGAAGTGTTTGGATTTGTGGCTAAAATTTGAGAGATTTCCTGTAATAATTTGTATTTCTAGGAATTGGCTGTCCTTAAAAACGTAGATTTGCCCCCCAGTCATGGGTGGACCAAGGCTGAGTCCTGGCTGTCCCCTTTGGAGACAAAGTAACTCATTTCTGTTACTTACGACTCCCAAACAGTAGTGTAAGTCTTCTGTTTTTCAGATGCATTAACTGAGGCACAGAGCATGGGGTCCATTGTAGAAAGTCAGGGTCCTGATCCCCTAAGTAATGGGTCAGGCCTGCGGGAACGTCCTCCTGTCACCTCCCGATGTACAGTCTCATCCCATTTTTGTGTTGGGCTTTTTCCTCTTAAGTCAAACCATCTCCCCCCTTCAACGTGACCGTGACCTTCTCGGACCACTATAACATCTCCTGGAGCTCTGATTATGAAGACGCCGTCTCCTACACATTGAAGGGCAAGCTGCAGTATGAGCTTCAGTACAGGAGCCGGAGCGCCCCCTGGACTCTGGTGAGGGCAGAGGGCTTGCAGCCTAGCTGCTGGGGAGGGAGCGGGCAGCCTGAGACCTGCCAGCTTTGTGGTCTGTGGACGCCGAAACCACTGAGGATACACACACCAACAGGCTCTCCTTCCAGCCCATCCCCAGCTCCACTGAGCCTGTTACGTGCTGTCGAGTCAGTTCCGACTCATAGTGACCCTGTACAGGGTTTCCAGAGAGCAGCTGGTGGCTTTGAACCTTGTGGTTCGCAGTCCAGTGCTGACCCACAGCGCCACCCCTGACTAATGAGTCACCAAGGGCTAGGGCTAGCTGGGACCTTTCCACTTCGACAGCCATAGTTGAAAAGTTCCAGAAGCATCTGTAGTAAAGTGGTATGCTGTTAGAGGGTCTAGTTCTTTAAACGGGAAGGTTCCTAGAGGTGTCCCAGTATTGATAAAGATTCGCAGCTAAAAAGGCTAGAGTGAGCCATCACTGCTAGTGGGACCGGTGAGGATTTTCATAAATGGCCCTGGTGGGAGGTGTCCAGGAGCTCCCACCATGGAGAGCACCTGCTGTGTAGAAAATGCTTCCAGCAGGCAGAACTGTCCCTTTGACCTGGGCTGTTGGGACCAGAGGTACATTCTTTTCCACCTGCTGACAGAGTCCAGGGAGGAAGCTGATCTCTGTGGACGTGAGAAGTGTCTCTCTCCTTCCCCTGGAATTCCACAAAGGCTCGAGCTATGAGGTGCAGGTACGGGCAGGGCCCCAGCCCGGCTCCTCCTTCGAGGGCACCTGGAGTGAGTGGAGTGGCCCGGCCGTCTTTGAGACCCAGCCAGAGGGTAGGTGTGACATTGCCTCAGTCCAGCCTCCCAGCCCTGTGCTTTCCTTATGGCTGAAAGGTTTTTGCTTGGTTGGAGCCAGTACAAATGTATCTGTAATTCAGCCACATTCTAGAGTCCCTGCATGCTGTGCGATGGTGTGGTGCTTCTACCAGGGATTTGATCTATGAAGGGGGAATCGTTACCCCAACTTAGATGAGGAAACACATTCAGAGGGATGAAGTCATTTGTGGTGGGGTGGGAGCAGGCACCCGCACACACACACCACCCCACCGCTCCACATGGCCCAGGTTGGCTCAACCTAGTCTTCCGTATGCTTCCTTCCAGAGACGGACGGCAGGACCGGGGGACAGTACCATGACCTTTGGCTGCTGTTCATTGCAGTCCCTGTCCTCTTGGCCCTGAGCTACCTGCCTTGGAGGTGAGGCCAGGAGTCGTGACGCGGTCAGCTTGGGTCAGAGGGCTGGAGGGGTTTTGGGGTGATCCATCCCTTGGACTTCACCCCAGTTTTGCTGTAATCTGTTTTCTACTTTGAGTTTCTGACGCACATTGTAGAACCGGCTAGTGCTTGTGAGTTCAGCAAGACTCCAGAGCTGTAGTTCTCTCAGCCCTTTCAGAGGCAGGCCCCACATAGTGCTGACATGAACTGCTCTCATGGACCACTGGCCTTCTCTCAGCCTCCCACTACTGCCCTAGGAGGTGGCACTTGGCCACTCCTGGCTGGTGAGGAGGAAGTTGAGGCTCAGAGGAACAGCATTTGCCCAGCCCTTAAATTCAATGCATCCTCACGAGGGAGGCTACTGGTGTGGAACTAGGCCCTGGAAGGGAAGAATGGAGCCAGGGATGATCCTCCAGGAGGCGATGTGGAGTCCTCACCCAGCTCTGCTTCCCCAGGTTCTGGAAGAAGGTGTGGGGCCAGGTGCCCAGCCCAGAATGGTTCTTCCAGCCGCTGTACATGGGCCACCACGGGGACTTCAAGGTGAGAAGCCCTGTCCCTGGCCTCCCCCCTCCCCCCACAGGAGAGGGTGGAGGGCTGCTCCCTGGAGCCTCCCACCACACTCAGGGCCCTTAGATGCCCTTGGTAGGGGAGCAGAGGGGACCTCACCTGCAAAACACACCCACTAGCCACTACCGCCGCCACATGCTGCGCCCACAGGATTATCTGTGCCTGTTTTCAGCCTTCACCCACGCGGCGGGGCGGATGTGGTGGTGAGGGGCTGGGAGGGGCAACCCTTGCCCAGAAGCTGGTTAGTGAGCTCCTGCAGCCAGCCTGCCCTCCCCTCATGCCCAGGGCTGCCCTGCTGAATGGGCACCCCTCACCCCAGTGACTCTAGGGAGGACCCTGCGCTCCATGGCATCAGAGGGGGCCTGGTTTGCTCTCATCACACCTGCCACGGGCCAGGTCCGGCTCTAGGACTGTCTATTACTAGGCCCATTTTACAGAGAGAGGATAGGTAGCTGACCCAAGGCCTCAGAACTGAGAAGTCACTTCAATTCGTGTGGTGGCTCCCATGTTGGATTCTAAGATGAACTTTCAGAAGAGCAGAAGCTCAGAGCTGGGAGTTTCTAACTCTCAGGGATGGGGACTGGCATGGTGAGTGGGGAATGAAGGTCCTCAGAATTCAAGGACCTCTGCCTTCACCACCCCATCATCACCTTTATCGGCACATCTGGCCATTTGTTCACTTGGCTTCATTCCTTCAGCTATAAGCTTGTATTGAGCATCAGCTTTATGAGCCTGTGGGGACACAGCATTGGTTCTGTGGTGGCCATGTGTCTGCTCTAGGGGAACCGTACATGGGAGGGTGAGGTTGTGAGGAATTCACCAAAGTAAGACTGCAGGCCCACTTCCATGACCCCCTACTCAGGAATCTGTTCCTTGCTCCCACACAGGCCCAGGGCCAGGTGTCAACACTGAATGGGCATAGCATGCTCTGGGCTGCCCCGACCCTTACCATCCCTGACTCGCTCTCTCTCTCTCTCTCACAGAAATGGGTGGGCACACCTTTCACTGCCTCTAGCCTGGAGCTGCAACCCGGGGCCCCAGGGGCGCCCTTGACCCTGGAGGTACAAAGATGCTGGCCCTCACACAGTCCAGCCAAAGGGCCAGCACCCACACAGCTGCCGGACCCTGCCCAAGTGCTGGAAGCTGACGGGCTTCCTGAGCCAGCATTCTGGGCTCCAACCCCATCCCTGGCCGACAGCCCGGATGGCTCTGTTTACAGTGAGGCGAGGGACCGGCCATACGGCTTGGTGTCCATCGACACAGTGACCGTGCTGGATGCAGAGGGGCCGTGCGCCTGGCCCTGCAGCTGTGAGGATGATGCTTATCCAGACCTGAATCTGGACTCCGCCCTGGAGCCCAGCCTGGGTGCCGAGGACCCACTGTTGGGCGCAGGGGCCACAGTCCTCTCCTGTGGCTGCGTCTCGGTTGGCAGCCCCACCAGGCTGGGCAGCTTCCTGGACAGGCTCAACTTGCCCTTGGCAGCCACAGAGGGCTGGACCCCGGAGCCGCCCTGGGGCAGTGGGTTGCTTGAGACGGCCTTCGACAGTGAGGCAGGATCACCCCAGACGGCCCTGGACATGGACACGTTCGACAGCGGCTTTGCGGGGTCCGACTGTGGTAGCCCTGTGGAGTGTGGCTTCACCAGCCCTAAGGACGAGGGCCCCCCGAGGAGCTATCTGCGCCAGTGGGTGGTCATGGCGCCTCCACCCTCAGTGCCTGGGCCCCAGGCCAGCTAAGGGGTGGCTGGCCATCCAGAAACACAATTGTCTGTGCTGGGACCTGGAGTGTTGGCAGTGTATGTACATGTGTCCCAGTACTTGTACACTGCGTGTCCACATGTGAGCAGCCTGCCGGCTGTGGCTGTCCACGTGCACCCACATACATGTACAAGGGTTGACAGTGACTACTGAGCACCACTTCTCCTCCTGAGTTCCCTGCAGGGGCTGCCCAAGGGGAGTCCATGGGCTTCAGATCGAATCTTCATGGCTGTGCTGTCTGGAGCAGGCCACACCCCTCCCTGAGCTGTCTCCTTGTCAGAACAGTAGGAACGTGACCGTCTTCGTGAGAGCTTGGGGAGGTCAGATGGGTGCTGTGTGCAGCCAGAGCAGACCCCCAGTGAGCATCAGCTTCCTTCCTCTGTGGCCAGCACCAAGCTGGTGCCGGAGGTGGGTGGGGGTGAGAAACCTGTGACCGCAGGGCCTTTTGGGGCTGCCCCGCCACCAGAGGGGCACTGGGGGGTTTCCGGGCTGAAAGTCAGCCAGCCTTGTCTCTCAGAGCAGCTCCACACCTACCTGCTGCTGCCCCTGGAAATTCCCTTCCTGCACCCTATTTGTTGAGCAGGTGCTGGGTGGGCACGGAGCGGCTCAGAGCACCGAGGGCCCCAGTGGAGTTGGAGTTGCTGATATAGGGCATCATGTTGCTCTGCTCAGGCCAGCATTGTGCAGGGGCCGAGGGGCTGCGGGCCGAGGGGCGTGCCTGCAGAACTGTGCATGCAGGACTCGTGGAAGCGGCATGCTGGAGAGCACCTCACTAAACGTCTCTACCCACCCGTTGCCCTCAAGTTGGTTCCGACTCCTAGTGGCCTGTAGGACAGGGTCACCTCTGTATGCGAGTAGCCAGCCTTCTCCTTCTCCTGTGGAGTCTCTGGTGGATTTAAATAGTTGGCCTTATCTACAGTCAGTGTTTAAACCCACTGTGCCACCAGGTCTCTTCTGTAGAGGAGCTGGATTTAGGTGCTGGATGGTTGTGAAATGCTTCGAGCTGATTCCAACTTATAGCGACCCCGTGTCGGGTTTCCAGGGAGCAGCTGGTGAGTTTGAATTGCTGACTTTGCAGGCTAGTGCTAATCCTACAGCGCCACACCAGGACTGGCTATATCCATGCTGGATGTAGTGTGGAAATGATGTCCTCTTTCTTAAAAAACAAAACAAAACAAACCAACAATGGCTTTCCTTCCAAGTGTGTCCACCAAGCTCAACTTGGCTTTTTCAGGACCAAGCAGGTTAGGCAGTGGAGGCTGATTCTGCAATGTCAGTCCTCTGGAGGCCCGAGGCTCTGCCTGTTACAGCGTCTCTGCTTCTTCTGTAAAACAGGATGTTAGGGAGTGCTGCCTGCACAGCTGGAAAGTTCTAGATCACGGGTGCTTTTAGTAATGGAACTCTTCACCTGGGAGCACGTGTGAGCAGCCTCAACACCCGACACACTTGGGTCAAGGTGTGCTGTGTTCCTCACACTCGGGGGCAGTGGGTTCCAGGTGCCTTCTGAGCCACAGACTCGGTGGTAAGAGGCGGCACCTGGAGACGGTACCAGGCCTGTGGACTAGACACGGTTCTGACATGGGTCAGCTGTGGCTCCTCGCCAGCTCCCTCTGGAAGGAGATTCCGTTCATAAACATGAATGCAGAAAGTTGGGGAGCAGCATGGCCCTCCCGGCAGAATGGATAAATGAGTGGTGGGGCAGGGGTGGATGGACGGATGCTATGAGAAGATTGATAGAAGGACTGAGGAAAAACAGTTGGATGGACAGAGATAAGCAGATTAAGAAATAAAGATCATAGAGATTAAACAGCAACTATGAGAGCCTTGTCTGTTTTTTGACTCCTTTTTTCCCTAACCTGGCACATAGTCCACCACACCCATTGCCACTGAGTTGAGGCTTATGCTGGTGATCCTGTAATAGCAGAACTGCCTTTGCCAAACTTCTAGTAAGCAGCTGAGCACTTAACCACCGTGCCACCAGTGCTCCTTTGGTATGTGGTGGTGGTGGTGTGCAGTGGAGTCGGTTCCGACTCATAGTAACCCTGCATAGGGTTTCCAAGGCTGTTACTCTTAATGGGAGCAGAAAGCCTCATCTTTCTTCCACGAACAGCTGGTAGTTTCCACCTGCTGACCTTGAGGTTTGCAGCCTAATATGTAAACACTATGCTACCAGAGCTCCTTTTGGTACATAGTTGTTGTTGTTAAGTGCCGTCGAGTCGGTTCCGACCCATAGCGACCCTGTACAGTACATAGTAGGGACTCAAGAAAGGCTGGTTTGTAGCATTTGCTGATGTTCCATGGAGCTCTGGTGTAGCGCTTTAGGATAAGCAGTGGACTCCTCACTACAAGGTCATCAGTTCAAACCCACCTGTCATTCATTTCTCGGGAACCCTGTACAGGGTTGCTATGAGTTGGAACCAACTCAATAGCACTTAACAACAACATGGTGTAAACAGTTCCCCAAGGCCCATTTTAAGCTCCCAATGTGAAGTGGGAAGAAATGTAGCTATTCAGCTGAGCTGGTCAGAGCAGCATCCAGCACATCACAGATGGGAGGAACCCAGAGGGCCATCAAGCCTCCAACTCTGAATGTGTATGTGGTGGGGGTGGTTCTGTTGGACTTTAAAAGCGCATAGATGGAAGAGGTTCAGTAGAGGCCTGGTGATGTAACCAAGCAGGGGACTAGATTATGTGGGAAGGGGCAGGCATAGGGAGCAGCTAGGGAAGGCGGCTGCCTATCATCCTAGCCCAGGCTGGAAGAGCTAATGCCTCTTCAGAGAACGGGGGCATCGACAGCCATGCTCCTCCCAGATACATATTCATTCTGCTGCTTGCCCAGTCAGCAGGGTCTCTGGGCACATGGATGATGACTCCTGCTGACAGATTTGGAAGTGAAGGTATGGAATGGACAAGTGACCTCTTGCTCCCCTTGCTCTGCTGGGAGGGATCTAGATCAACAGATAAGAAATCCTTTACATACACTCATGGATGCCCTATCACCATGAGAGGGACTAAGTCAGGAGATGGGAGATGCCTTACACACTCACAGATACCTTTCACGGTGGGAGGGACTAGGTCAGGAGACAAGAGACGCCTTAACACACACTGGTGGATGGCAGAGGCCTTGTGGGCATGGCTGACCCTGCTCTGGCCAATATTTCATCCCTTCAGTCACAGAACCATTTCAGGGAAAGATAAGTGGCCTCAGCCAGTACCTACCGTCTTTCTGCTGAGGTTTCTGAGCTGTAGGAGGACTAGGCCTGGATGTTCTGGAGAGCATCAGCAGCTGCCTGAGGAAGCCCACAACCAAGGCAAGCTGCTAAGAGATGGAGACATGTTCTTAGCAGTACGTCTTGAGCCCTCAGATCTAGCCATGCCTGAAACAGTATTCCCTGGGGTCTTTCAGATACAGGAGTATGGAAGTCATGAATGCTGCTCGCTAATTATCCCCAGACTTCTGGGCACATGGCAGGACTGCAAGCTGATGTCTGGGGTTGGACGGGGCTGGCCCCAAAGCTGTGACCAGAGCATTTCACGGATGCTGACGACACCCGCAGGGGGTTTTCCTCTGTGCCACAGCGCCCAGTGATGTTTGAGGTGGAGGTCGCTCGTCAGCCTGGGTCCTGGGGGAGAAGATGCTGCACAGAACACTAGTTCACCTGTGGTGGACATGTGAGCAACAAACAAATTCTCCGTTTTTCGAGGCTGCTAAGATTTGAGGCTATTACGACAGGCTAAGCCAGCCTGCAGACTGAACCAATGAGCTGGTAGGGTCTGGTTTTTGCCTCAGTTGGTCTGTCACCTGCAGTAGTCTGTGTGAATCTCTTCTTGAGCGAGGACTCTTCCCCAAGGCAGGCCATGTCCACCGGATCACTTCTCACACATAAAGTTGGGAAAGTCACTTAGTCTGAGCCTCAGTTTCCTCTCTTGTAACACAGGGGCAGGAGTCTAGCTCTGGGCTTGCTGGGGGCATGGAGAGCCCGCAGACAGGAACAGACATACAACTCCTGGTTAAGTGCATGTGTTCTTTCCTTAGCGTCTGCTTGAGTGGGCTCAGGGTTCAAAGGGGGACAGAGGTGCAGCCTCAGCCCTTCCTCCTCTAGCCTCCTCATCGTGAGATTTCAGAAGCTTACAGCACCCTCTGCAGGGACTCAGAGCTCAGTCGTTCCAGCTTCTCTGGCACGGAACAGTTACTCGGAAGGCTCTGCCCAGAGTGCTGTGTGCATATCCCAGATGGTCTCATGGGGAAGACGGAGTAAGAGGGAGGGTGTGAATTAGAGCCAGCCCATTTTACCCTTCTGCAAACAGAGGCCGAGAGAGTCACACAGAGCTAACCAGCACCTCAGTGCACGTCCAGGCTCTCCCTCCCTCAGCAGGGCCCAGACACTTGTCAGACTGAGCATGTACACCACCCAGTCCTGGGAGTGCCGAATCCAGAGAAGGAATGAGAACAGTGAAGAAAATGGTCAGCTGTGCTTAAGAGACATTACCACATTAACAGAAAAGAGTAGAATCAAACCTGAGCTCTAAGACCTGCTCTGAGGCCCTTACTTAAAATTCTAACGCCTACCCCAGGCCCTTAAATCCCTCTGACATGGTCCGGGTGTTTTCTAGCCCCCTTACACTCCAACACGGCACACTTACCGAGTATGCCACCTTGGTCTAGCCATCTATTCAATGCCGTCTGAGCCTAGACTAGGGTTTGGCACATAGTGGGTTCTTGCCAACATTTAGTGAGGGACTGACCGAGTGGCTCATTAGCTGAGTAGTAGCGGTGTACCACTGAGTTCTGCCTCTCACAGAGCCTGTAGACAGGTTCTGAGGCTGCAGAGCTGCTGGGTTAGCAGCAGATCAGTGCTGATGCTACAGCATCATACCAGCAAGGATGACAAGAAATCAGGGACAATCCCAGAGAGGGGACAATGAGAAGAGGGGTCTCCTTGGAAGTTTCAAAACAAGGCCTGAGATCCTCCACCCGCCTTGCTCCTTATTCTGTTTTCAGGGGTCTCCCCATGACTACTAGGGAGTGGGGCAAAGGTGAGGGCTCTAAGACTAGGACTGTCTGGGCTTGAATGCCAGCCTCCAACTGCTTGGAAACCATTTGACCTTAGTGCTTCAGTTTCTTCCTCCAGGAAATGGTCTCAGTGGTTCTGAGAGCTGGAGTAAAGCAGTGTTGACAGCACTTGTCCATGGACAAGTTACCTCCAACCCATTTTCACTGGTCTCACCCTTAAATGGAAGTGGACAAAGAATGACTGACCAAGAACCCACAGGAAGCAAAGGTGCATGGGCTACGGATGCCCCCTGCTAGTGACCAGTGGAACGGGTACCTTCCAAGCACCATGCTAGGTGGTACACACACAGGAGACCCAGAACAATTATCCTAGCAGTCTGGGCAGCAGGAGTATGGGCCCAGCTTACTTATGTGGGCATGAGGTGAACTGGCAGGTTCTTGCCTAATTTGAACAAGGTAGAATTGTTTGACAATTGGTTGGTTGGTTACGTGCCGTGTGGAGTTGGTTTCAACTCATAGCGACTCTACAGGGTTTCCTATAGCCTGTAAATCTTTATGGGAGCAGAAAGCTTTCCTGTGGAACAGCTGGTAGCTTCAAACTGCTGACCTTGAGGTTAGCAACCCAACTAGTAACCACCACACTACCAGAGCTCCTTTCTTTTGCAAAGTAGGCTGGATGCTAGTCCCTCTCAGGAGCCACCCACTGGAAAGACTGACCTATGACGATCACAGACAGGTCCAACTGGAACCAGAACTTGGGGAGTTCTCCAACGTGCTCCAACAGCCCTGGTGAGGACTTCGTGTCTTCAAAACTCTAAGATAATGCCTTTCTGCTGTTCACAGCCACTCTGGGATATTTGATTATGGTAGTCACACAAATCCACACATTAGCACACACACAATTCACATGCATAGGAACACATATACGCACCTGTATGCATACATTTCACAGGAGAAAGATTTACAACCTTGGAAACCCCATACAGGGTCCCTATGACTTGGAACTGACTCTTCTATCGCACACAACCATACGAGTAGGCTTCAGAAAGTTCAGGAAAAAGTGAGGAATGGGAAGTTTCTCATGAGGTTTTGAAGCCCCTGTCGTACCACATGCAGCACTTGATGGTAATTCTTCAGCTGGTTGGCCCTCCTGCGAGTGAGACGTGCAAAACCTCATTTTCAGATGAGAATAGAGAATACTAGGGCTCTGCGAGGTTCATGCCAAGGCTACTATCTTAAGCCAGAGCTCCTGGATTCACAAATCTATCTTCAGTCCACTACATTCCCCAAGGTATTGGCATTTGTACTGTTTATAAAGCAGATCTGATCTGTTCTACCTGATCTCCTCAAAAAATCCCTTTAGAGTTTTCACCTGAGGAGAAGGAAAAAATAATAAAATTGATTCGACTTGTTCAAAGTCTTGGCTGTATTGGAGATCACTCTCCAGCTCCCCAATCCCATGCCCGATACTTGCCTTTCCTCACCCTGGGTCCTGCAGAGAAGAGGTAAACAGGGTTGTAAATTGGGCCACATCAAGCATCACAAGGTCAAATGTCCCCTAGAAGGTGCCAGGTTGAGACCAGAGCCCGGGCGTGACATGATGTGTCTGGGTAGGTCACATCTCCCTGCAGGAAGCCGCCTCCTCAGCACCTCTGTTGTACGCTAGTACTGCCAGACCGTTCCATTTCTCAAGACAAAAAGTATAATTCTCCAAAACATGAAAGCGCCAAACATTTTAAATGTTTGCAACTAACAAAAAATAAATAAAACGCAGACGAACAAGCATGCAGTGCACCAACTTCTATGATGTCACCACCAGGACTGGGTTTGCTGAAAGCTCAACATGGGCTGGTATTCTCCTCAGAGCTTCTCTCTCACAAATTCCCCTTGTGCTTGCTGCCGACACCCCACACTACTTACCATATACATACCTCCCCAGACACCCCACCACCATAGACACAGCACCCATACAGAGACCCCACCACCATATACATGTAACTCCCAAAATACAAACTCCACAGACACCCCACCACCATACACATGTAACTCCCAACAGACAGACATACTCGACACCCCACCAGCAGAGAGATGGTCACAGACAGTCATATCCATAGAGACCTACCACAGTACCCCAGATAACCCCTCTATAGACACACACCAAACACTGACATATTCACACCACAGATAAACACCCCAGGCAAAGCCTCTCAGACACTCCCCCCGCCCCCAAATATACTCCCCATACACATACAACACGCAGACACAGACACAGGAGGGGGCTTCAGAAAGTGTGGCTAAATGGAATTAAAAGGTAATAGAATGTTTCTACTAATTTTTTGAAGCTGTACTCTCTACAGAGACCCCCACACCCCTACCCATGCACATGAATTTCTTGGTGAAGGGACAGCAGTGGAAGCAGTTGAGAAGCTGGGTGGGCTTTTGAAGCTCATCCTAAGGGCAGTGTCACTGAGACAGATGGATGATCACTGGACCTGCTGGCTGGCCTATGATGGGCATGCTCAGCAATAGGGCCTCTGTCTGCCGTGGGTTTGCTGGGACCACCACTGCAGGCTATTCCACAGCTAAAAGCAGGGAATACCCTGGGGACTGATGATCCCTTAGGAAACACACAAAACTAAAAGCATTTTGCTTCATTTTAATTAAAAAGAAAACAAAATAAATACATGCCAGGGACTTAAAATTTTTTTTTTTTTTTTTTTTTTTATATAAATCAGGAACGAGGCACAGAATAGAACAAAACAAAACCTAAGTCAATATGGCCTCCTCCTTTCTAGACTACGGGCCTTACTAGCTGAACTGAGGGGGGTGGAGAGGGAAGGGCAGGTGGGCCAGTCCCAGGCCACTTGGGGGGCTCACCCCAGGCCTCCGGAGGTCCTGGTAGGTGGGGCTAACTCACTGCCATGGCAGCTTGGAGGCAGGAACCCAGGTCCTCACAGTGGTGGCAGCATGTGGGTGTTCTGGGGAGCTGAGGGGCTGGAGCCGCTGAGAGGTGCACAGCCGTGCCCCCACCCTGAGAGATGATCACAGCAGGCTCGATGCCACCTGTGCAGGCAGCTGTTCTTTGGGAGCCAGGGAGGACAAGCCCTCAAGTGCTCCAGGTAGAAAAGGGCCCCAGCCTGCAACAGGAGCTGGGAGGCCAAGGAAGTGGGTGCAAAGAGTGGGGAGGGGCCTTGCAGCTGCCAGCACCTCCCAGCCTGCCCAGGAAGAGTGCCCGGATGGGATCAGTGTCCGCTCAGTGGCTCTAGCCAGGTGTGGAGTCACAGAACCATGTCCAGGCCTGGCTAGACTGTCCGAGTCCAACCTCTGGCCAGGGAGGCAGTGGGGTGGTGGTGGGGGTGGGGGGAACGGCTGTCCGGGCTTAGAAGTGGACCCACTTGTTCCAGTTGACATCATGGGGGAAGACTCGGCCCAGGCGGATGGTGCAGTCCAGCGTGGGCTCGTAGAACACCGTGTGGTGCTCGCCCTGGCTGGCGGGCGCCTCGGCCTCTTCTAGCACAGGCTTTGAGAAGAGCGAGACGACCGAGGGCTTCTTCAACAGACATTTTTTGATACAGCCCAGATATTCCAGACCCTGAAATGACACAAAAACAGTGGAGGTATGTTAGTCTTGTTTATTCTTCAAGCATTTATGCAACACATTCCTGTACCAGGAAGTTGCTGCCCAAAGCAGGTGATAAAACTTGAGGGGATTTCACACTGCAGCCTGATTCTAGCTCCTCTTGAGCAGCTGTCCCCTGGGGGAGAGTGAGCTCAGGGCAGCAGCTATCTAGGATTGCACACCCTGTCTCAGGACGGTGGGCACCCTCACCTGCTCACACACAACCCATGAAGTCCATGCCACTCGTTCACTGCCAGGCCCCAGGGTGTAAAGGGGTCAGACAAAACCCCTGGGGCATCAGCACTTCAGGCCAGGCAACAGCACAGAGGTGGTCAAGGACGTTGACATAGGCAGCCTAAGTGAGGAGAGCCAGGGCGGGAGGAGGCCTGAAGGGCTCGGGCCAGAGAGGCGGAGCTGCATGTGTTCTGGGAGCTGATCTGATCTGATCTGAGTGCCCTGTGCAGGTGATGCAGTGTGAGGCCGAAAGCAGCAGTCCTCTGACGGGCCAGGAGGCCTGAGCTCCAGCCTCTTGCCTGCTGCTGTGCCTGAGAACCCACTGCACATGCCCAGAAGCCATTGGGCCCCGAGTGGCTGGCCGCGGACGCACCTGAAGCAGCTCGAGCACAGCCACGGGCTGCAGAACGCCCTGGTAATGCTGCAGCAGGTGGCTCTCGGGGATGCCGGGCCTGGTCATGATGTGGTAGAGCAGGGCTTCCATCATGCCCTTACACACGGGCGTGTTCAGATGGCCGTCCACAATGCGCCACGGGCGGCCGACGAAGCAGATGTTCTCACAGTCCCTGGGGGGCCGGGGGGCCAGTGTCAGGGCAAGGCAGGGGAAGTGGGCAACAAGCCCCTCCACATGGGGCCCTGGGCTACAGACAAGGACACGGAGGGCTGGGGTTCCCAACACTAGGAGCCAACAACCTTTTCTTCTCTGCTCAAGGACACCCGCCCACCTCTCCCACCCACCTGGGCAGAGCGGGCCCATGTCCAGTGCCCTGACTGAGGACTGGCGCTCATGCATTACATGAAGGGGCACCTATGGCCATCCAAACCCTTGCCTCCACCCCCACCTCCAGTGAGTGATGGCCCAAATCGGCCTGTGAGAGACCTTCGGGCTCCTCACTCAAACCAGGGCTCGTCTGGAAGTCCAAGCACAAATGTCTCCGTTGTGCACTCACCTGCCCTGTGCTGCGTGTGTGAGGCTGCCGGCTGTAGAACTCTCGGTCAAACCTGACGGAAGAGAAAAGGGCTATGAGAAGTCACCTGTGAGCTTTGGAGACAGAGCAGTGACAAGGGCACAACCCTTTTCCTCAGGAAGTTTTGAGGAGGAAGTTGGGCTGTGGAAATGGGAGCCAGCTCACTTCACACAAAACTGGAACTAATGGCAGGGTGCAGGTGTGGGCGCCTGTCTCCACCAGGGGGAGCTAGGGAGTCCTTGTGAAATCCTTATGCAAAAACACCCTCAAGAGACAAACCACTTCAGAAACCTACTGTTGATTACAGATAAAAAATGCACCCAGTAGCAGAGGTAGAAGGAATGTTCTGGTGTCTGACCTCTGAAACGGACCGCCTTTACCCTCTCTGCTACTGCCCCCTCACAGCAGAGCCCGAGCAGTTTGCTGGGGTGCCTCTAGTTGCTTCCACCTTGTCATTCAGTCACCTCATGAGTTTCTGAAGCCATCTGCCCTCTAGTGGAGACATTTGAGGCAACATCTAACCCCCTGAAGGCTGCCTATGAGAAGTGGGTCAAAGGCCCCTTTTGGCATCAGTGGTCAGTTTCCAATCTGAGGAAAGTGTGGGCCTCATCAGGTCTGAGGACAGAGCAAGACTGGGGCAGGGGTCACGGTTTGGTACCTCGGGGCTCTTCAGAGCCTTCTGGAAGCTGGGCCTGACTGCTCAGATGTTCTTGACCAGGTGAGCTGGATCCCTCGATATCCTCTTGGTCTCCCTGCCCAGCCTCTGATGCTCCCAGGGGAGGCTTCTGGCTCCCCATGTCTTCAGGAGCTGCAGGCAGAACAGGTGCTCGGCCTTCCGGACCGTCATCTGCTCTCAGCCCAAGGCTGGGGGTAAAGCGCACGTCCTGGAGCGTAGGCCTCTTTACAGGGGGCTGCCGGGCACTGTCGGAGCTGCTTGGACTGGCTGGGTCTGTGCTGGCCCAGCTGGCATGCCTCTTGGTGCTCCGGGGTCCCTGCTGCCCATCACTGGCAAATCCTTCTAGGGCTCTGGTGTGGAGGTCTTCTCTCAGAGGCTCGGTACCCTCCTCTTTACCTTTGAGACGCACTGAATGCAGGAGCCAGGGATGGGCAGAAGCCATGGTCACCAGGCGAATGGTGTTGCCACCCACTTCCAAGAGCTGGTGCTGCTCCAGGAGGTCCTAGGACAAGCAGGACACACTAGGTCTGTTTGGGTGGCCTGACGGGTGATGATCATAGTGCTTGCTCCCTGCCTGTTGCCTGTGAGTGTCTTCAACAAGTGGCAAGCCCCGTTCAACTAGGGCACACAGTGTCAGAAGTAGTAGATGTGGCTTCTGGTCCTGGGTCTGTAAGAACCAGCCAGGCGACCTGGGCAGTCTCTTTCCTTCCCTGGACCCCAATGTGGCGACATGTAATTCTAGTCAGCTGTGAGAAATTCTTGGAAATACAGCCACAGCCTCAAAGCTGATGGAAATTTTTAAGTGTCCTTGCGCATGGCCAACATACCCCCTCAGAACTCAACACCCCAAGCTCTAGCAAGCCAGCCCTCCAAAGCATTCCCATGTGGATGAGAACAACTCCTCTCATGTGTATGCCATGCCTTTCTGGTATCTAGGAGAGGCACAACTTGGCTCCCTGCCATCTTTCTCCCATCGCCTATCCATTGTCAGTGGGCTCTGGAAGCCCAGCTGGGCACACCACTGGCTCCCCCTGACTCACCTCCGAAGGCCAATGTGTACCCTGTCCTACTTCCTGCACAATGACAATGACAAGCACAGCAGCTTCTGAATCTGGGAACTAAGAGGTATCTCTGAAGGTGTCTCCTTGCAGGTATCCCAGCTCCCTTTGAAGTCTGCTATGCCCAAGCTGGCTCCTTCCCCCACATGACTGCTGCATGGCAAATGTCTCAACGACATCACCAGAATCTGACCTGCATCCTACCGCCTGTCATCGATGCACCAAGCTCAGGGCCCTTCCTATCACTCCCTGGTGTACAGTTATTTTACCACTTGTAGCTTTCAGACATATACAATTTTGCAATCTCTTCGATTTCACCAAGACTGCATCTGCACCTAGTCTTCAGAGAGGACTCTTACCACAGAGAATCCAGAAATCACGGCGCCATACTCCCATAGTGATGGAGCAGACATTCAGCAAGGGTAATGTGAGGATACGCTCAGCTCCCCCAGGCCAGTGAGGCTCCGTTTCAGTAATGGGGGCAGTGATACGGGCACACTAACTGGATTTGCATATAATGGGTCAGGGTTTCCTACCAGGTGAAAAGGTGAGTGCTAGGCTCAGAAGACCATTTGTTCCCCCATTCTTTGTGTCCTCTTGTCACTGACTCAAAAGGGACCAGGCAGGTAAGCCAGGCAGAGGATCTCAGGGGCAGTAGGAAACAAGAGAGCTGTGGGTTACAAGACCTTCTGGAGGAGGGGCAGTCACTGCTTGGCTCCAGTCAAGTGGGACTCAGAACTCTAGGTGATCCCTCCTAATTTTAAAATACCGAAACCAGTGTTTAAAGTACTACACTCAATGGCCCGATAGTATCAGGCCACCTGCAGCGTGCGCCTGGCCTACAAAGTCCTAACTGGTTTCACTCACCTGGACATAGTCAGTGAACGTCCTGGTACGCTCACTGTCTGTCTTTGCGAAGGCAGAAAACTGTTTGCTCAGTGCCACCTTGTCAATCCCAAAATACCCAGTGGCTGCAATGGCCCTCTGGATCTCCAAGGCGGCAACCACGTCTCCCGGTTTGTACCCAGACAGCGCCACAAGGTGCACAAACTCTTCCAAGCTGTTGTCCTGGGTGCTTATCACTCTGGTAAGGGTGTCAGGGAGGCAGGAGGTTCCCACTGCCAGCTCATGCAGAGCAGTGTCTGCAAAGACAGGAGGGGGATCTGAATCATTCCTGACATGAGCCTACCTCCCCAGACACACACTACTACAGGACACGTTCCAGCTGGGCCCCCACTGCAGCTGACTGGACTGACTTTCTCCTAGGCCATGATGACTCCTGCTCAATCAGGGTTCTGAAGGAGAACCCCTCAACTCTAGCTGCCTGGTTTCTACTTCTGTGCTTATGTGTTTACTTCTTGTTAGTCTCTGAGAAACTGCTGGGCCCACTTCTGCTTATGGCAGCCAGGGCCAGTTTCTGTTGTTTCCTGTAAATGGTATCTCTGCACAGAGACAGTAGTCGAAGGCTATCTGCCTCGTCCAAACTCCAAACTCTTTACTGGTGAAGACAGAGAGCAGCCACTACGCCTTCAATGATGGGAAAAGGCAAGTCTGTGGAGGCAGGAAGAGGCTGGGGATGGGGAATGGGGAGGGAAGGGCTCTAATAGGCTCACTTTACAGTGTCCAAGGTCATTAATGCATTTTTTCAAAGTATAGAAACTGGAAGTAGAAGAGGCAGGAGCTTTTCTTTCACTGCCAAGGGTGAGAATGATGAAGACTTCCAGAGAGTCACTTAGTCAGAGCTAAGAAAAGCAGTGAAAAGGCTGCATCAGGGATCTCCTAGAGGAGGGGGGACTGGGAGGGAACGGCTGCTTTTCTCTCAACTAAGTGTATTACTCTTGATACAAGGGACAAGCGACAACGTGGGCATCTCTGAGGTGGGGTGTGTGCACAGCTCTGTAGGGCCTCCGCGTAGGCGGGTGCTCTCAGAGGGCTATGCTGCCCGAGTTGGCTGCCAAGGGTGGGGAGGTGCTTTTCCTGGTTTGTTTTTGGTGTTAGCACCATGGCTGTGGCCTGCAGTCGACCCAAAGGATGGACATTAGCCTTCACAGCTCAGCAGCTAGCCCCCAGTTTCCAGGCTCCAGGAGGGGAAGTACTCACCAGTGGGACGAAGACTATTGGAGTTGGGGGTACAGCGGAGCCGGAACTTCACCTGGCAGGAGTTCACAACAATGCTGTCGTTGGGGCTGAGGTTGCGGTTGCTGACAATGCCAGGGGCATAGTAGCCCCTCATCAGTAGGTAATTGGTGTGGGAGGCCTGGGGGGCCTTCACTTCAATGTTCTGGCGCTTGCCTGAGCCTTCATCCAAGTCTTCCTCTTCCTCTTCATCCTCTTCCAGGCTCCCATCCTTCCCCAGGCTAGAAGAAGAAAAGTGGGGCCAAGCTGATAAAATAGACCCCTTATATGTGCCCTAGCTGTCTCTTCTGGTGATACCAGCCCCTTCTGTAACTGGCCTGGTCACTGGTCAGCCACAGCTTCGGGCACTCCACTGGGCTCTGGCTGTGCTTAGAGAGCCTGCTCTTAGGTGACTGCTCATTTCACCCCTTCTCTCCCTTTTCCACACTGCTGACTCCCTTCACAGCTATGTCTTTGCAATAGCTGTTCCTTTGGCCTGAAAAATCCATCCTATGTCTCTGTCCAAAAAACTGTCTACATTTTCACTGTGTCCAAGTTAAGCTACTATGCCCCAAGCTACTTTCTCTTCTTACCCCTCTGGTGGGCTACTGTTAGATGTCAATATGACTAGGCCATGACTCTCAGAACTGTGTAATTACCCTCCGTTTTGTCATCTGATGTCGGGGAGTTTCCTTGAGGTGTGGTCTGCGGCCGATGTACATGGACATTGTCACAAAGCTCACCAGCTCTTGACCTTGCATCTGACTCATTATCCTCTGGCCTCAGGATCTTAGAATTTGAGTCAGGAGGAGCCTCCAGTCTGATGCCTGACCCACACACTTGCCAGCCTCCACAACTCTGTGAGCCATGTCCTTGAAATAAATCTATCTCTGAGTCTATACTTCGTGTGTGTGTGTTTGTGTATATGTGCATATATATGTATGTATGTATACACATACATACATGTATATATACACACATACATGTATACATACATACATATATATGCACATATACACAAACACATCACTGCTTTTGCTTCTCTATAGTCAAAGACATTTGGTGCCAAGAGTGGTTCTGGAGAGAAAAAAACCTTAAAGATGAGCTTTCTGAATTGGTCTTGCTAAACCTAAATACACTGATGACTCTCATACGCCACTACGATACAGGGTACTATTAACGCACGGCGTACAAGGCAGTTGCTGTTAAGTGCTGTCAAATCAGCTCCAACCCATAGCGCAACCCTGTATAAAGCTTCCCAGGAGCAGCTGGTGAGCTTGAAATACCAACCCTGTGGTTCAAACCAACTTTGCAGGAATTTAACCCACAGCGTCACACCAGGACTCCTAAAGACTCGGTGGTGGTGTGCCGGGGAGTCAGTTCCAACTCAAAGTGATCTTGCACAGGGTTTCTGAGGCTGTAAATCTTTATGGGAGCAGAAAAAGCCTTATCTTTCTCCCATGGAACAGCTGCTGGTCTTTTCAAACTGCTGACCAACTCGTTACCACTACGTTACCAGAGTTCCTTGAGATGGCAGTAGAAGTATGTAAAGTACCGTTACCACTGGATGGAATATTTGTGAGAAACAAGGCTCTGGGTGATTGTGTATTGGATGCTTAGTCTGAGTTCTCTCGAGAAGCAAAATCAGGGACGCTTACAGCGATTCAGAGAAGTTTATATTAAGAAATAGGCTCACACAGTTGTAGACGTGGGCAAGTCCCAAGTCTGTGGGTCAGATGAACCAAGATCAGCAGGCCAGACGGCAGGCTGCTGCTGACTCCCAACACTGGCAGCCAACGCAGGAGGCCACTGACTTGGGTCCAAAGAAAGATGTTGGATGAAAAGCCAGATGTAGGATCCAGACCCAGCAGAAGACAGCAAGCAAACTTCACTTGAGTGTTCAATATACTGGAAGCAGGCCACACCCCCAGGGAGACTTCGTTTCTGTTAATTGGCTGCTCACTGCAGATCTCGTCATCAAAGTGATTATATTATATTAGATCTCACCATGATCTAATTATGATCACTACCAAACAGAATCCTGGCCCAGTCAAGCTGACTATCACAGAAGCCTTCCACACTCTGGCTTCTTCTGATTAGAAGAAATGGGGTTCAGAAACTTGGGATGGGGGCATACAGGCAGATAATCAAGATGCTGGGGACACAGAGCCCCCTAAATTCTGCTCCATCAGTCCTGCCAACAGAACCAGCCCTCTTATTTCCATTTGAAGAGATGATTCCATCTTTGTATGCTAAGCCTCCCACCCCCAGCTGTTACCTGAAGAACCTTTGTCTGAGCTGTTGCCTGGCACTACCTGAGGCAGATGCATTAGAAGCCATTACTGAATGTCCCCAAGATTTACCACCACTACCCAATTTTGTTTCTAGTCCTGTACGAAGACTTAACTCACAGACACTGGACCTAGTACAGGGACTAGGCTTGTTGGTAAAACACTTGCATGCTAAAACCCCAACCAAAAATTGCTGCGTTCATTCAGACTAGCAGTGAACTTTAGGACAAAGAAGGGCTGCTTTGGAGGCTGTCAATCTTTATGGGAGCAGACAGCCTCATGGTCACCAGCCCAATGCCTGAACCACAGTGCCATCAAGGTTCCTAGGTATGTGCTGTCATTAAGTCGGTTTCAGCTCCACAGGGACCCTGTATAGGGACGCTAAGGCTGTTAATCTTTATGGGAATAGAACGCCTCACCTTTTTTCTGAGGACTGGCTGGTGGATTTAAAGTACCAACCCCGGGGTTAGCAGCCCAATGTGTAATCCACTAGGTCACCAGGGTTCCCCCATTCGCAGGCTTGTTGTTAAGTGCCGTCGAGTTGGTTTCAATTCATAGCGACCCTGTCTACCGTTTCCGAGGAGTGGCTGGTGTGTTTGAACTGCTGACCTTGTGGTTCACAGACTACTGCTGACCCTACAGCACCACATGAGGAATTCATTTGCAGGCTAGTGGGTGGGGCATTAACTCAACAAAAATTCAGGTGACTTGATAAGATGAATGTAAAACTAATGTTCTCCCATATAAACTATCACATAATTCACAATAAAACATTAAAAAAACAAATAACCTTCATGGACTTGTACCTCAGGATAATTTCTAGGTGTCTACTGGTGTGGCTGAGTGTTGCATCTGGCCCCTCCTATAACTAGAAAGGAGGTACAATGCCTGGCAGGCCTTTAGATTTGGAGGCAATACATCTCTCATTTTCTTGATAACTGTGCTACTTCAACCTATTTATCAAGTGTCTTTGAGAAGGCTGACAGCAGGTTCAGGCTGTCATGCAAATCCCCTGCCACTTGGGCCACATGACCCAGCTGATTCAATAGTGCTGGAGGTGTGATGACAGACAGAGATGCAGTTTGGAGTCTTGCAGGCCCTCGGGATTTTGGAGCAATGCCCTGCCACCCTCTGCAGATGACGACTCCTTTTGAGAAGTAGCTTGGCTTGTTACTGGGCCTTAGTAGACACTGAATGCCTACCCATGGGCCACCAAGGCACCATCCAACCAAAGCTCCCCATTATAAACTGGGTGTGGTCTGACCCCAGTCTTACAGCTGGACATGTACAGCAGCATTCCATCATGAAATGGGAGTGGTAGGTATGAATCCAAGCTCAAGCAGGACCTGAAGGCACAAGTAAGCTGCATGAGGAAGTGGCCCAAATGCCAGTCTCCATTCCCATCACATGACTGTCCCTCTCCCAGTCTGCACCTGTGATCACGATCAGCTGACTGAGGGAGAGAAAACTCCTGCTTGGTTTAATTACGCACGATGAGCAGGCACCACTTGGAAGTGGGCAGCAGCCACAGCACAGCCCCTGTCTAGGGCCTCCCTGAAGGGCAGTGGTGAAGGAAAATCCTCCCAATGGGCAGAACTCCAAGCAGGGCACCTGGTTGTTCACTTTGCTTGGCAAGAGAAATGGCCAGATATGTGACTGCATCGGCTGTTGCTAATGGTTTGACTGAATGGTCAGGGACTTGGAAGGAACAAGATCGGAAAACATGACAGAAAGCAAGGGGAGGAGGCATGTGGATGGACAGACCTCTCTGAATAATACTGAATACACCACGGACATACCTAGTTCTTGGAAGAAGCACAGCTTAAAATTCTCCTTACATGTAGGGATGGTGAAACACCATCTATGGTCTTTACCACACTGTCAGGAGGGACCAGTCCCTGGAGAAGGATGCCGTGCTGGCTAAAGCAGAGGGTCAGCAAAAACGAGCCGTGTAGTGAGGTGGACTGACGTGGTGGCTCAGACAGAGCACGACTGAGGGTGGGGACGGACCAGACAGTGTCTGGGTCTGTCGTACACAGGGTCAGTATGACTCAGAACTCATTCAAGGGCATCTAACGACAACATACAAACCTCAAATGTTTCTCTTTTCTTCCTTCCCTTACCCCACAACTTATTATGAAAGATTACGATGTAATATGTGTTGCCAAGTTGGTTCTGATCCGTATAGGGTTTCAGAGACTGTAAATCTTTATGGGAGCAGAAAGCCTCATCTTTCTTCCAAGGAACAGCTGGTAGTTTTGAACTGTTGACCGTGAGGTTAGTAACCACTGCGCTACCAGAGCTGCATACAGGTGCCACGTGGACAACAGGTAGAATGTGATGGTCAGTGTTAGGTGCCAATGTGGAGAGGCCATGGCTCTCAACATCAAGTATCTGCCATTTTGTGATGTGATCTAAGGGGAGTTTCTTTGGGGCTTGCATCTGAGTCATCATCCACTGACCTCGGGATGTTAAGATGTGAGCCAGAAGCTTTCTGCCTGACCTACTGAATTGAGGTTTGTCAGCCCCTGCAACCAAGTGAGTCAGGAGTGCCCTCCAGCTTGATGTCTGTCTCAGAGATTTGGGACTTGCCAGCCACTTCCCTAACTAAACCCTCTTCTTCATATACATTTATAGACACACGTCACTGGTTTTGCTCCTCCCTGCCACACTGTACCTTGAATGCCCTTCTCTTTGTTAGGCCGAGTCATACCCTGTTTGCTTCCCATAAGCACTCAGAGGCCCCATCGTGCCCACCTGCACACTGAGCTTCCCGAAGGCAGCAGAGCCCAACGCAAAGGAGAAAAGTGCAGCAAGTGCTGCCGGAAGGTACGGCCCAGATGACGGAGCGTCAGCCCCACAGAGAGATGAGTCTGTCCAAGCTCCTGTGAGGGCTCCCAACCCAGAAGTGTGTGCACAGGACCCACCTCGGGGCTCTCACCTCTTAATGACGTCGTTTTCCACCATTGAGCTGTCCACCACCACAATCTGCTCTGGGATCTTGACATCCAGAGAAATGAGGCCCAGAGACAAGAGGGTCAGGGCGGCCACACAATGTCCCCCAGGGCAGTCCAAAGAAAATGCCACCATGCCATCTGAGGAGTCATTATCCTGGTCTTTGAAGGCAAAATGATCAGGCTGGTCCAACCTGCCAGCAGCCAGGACCCTGCTGAAGAACTGGAATGATTCTGTGCTCACGGTGCTGGGGAACCGCCAGGTGAAAATTCTGCAGAGACAACAAGCAGGGAAGGGCCGACAAACCCTCCAAATCATTACAGACAAAACTAGCTAGCCTGTTTCTGTGGTGCCCCCACCTGTCTGTGTCTTTTCTCTCTAGTCACTAGGACACCTCAAACCAGGGCCATGTCTTTTCATTTTGTACCTGAGGCCCCGGTCACGCGGAACTGGGGAAGATAAATGTACATTTGTTACAATCACCTTTAAATAAACCAACCCTGTATGAGGAGGCTGCTATGGGGAGGAAGCCCTGTGTCTCTGCCCAAGGGTATCAATGTCATGAACCTGGAACAAGTGACAAGAAGGACCTAGCAGTCACAGAAGGGAGTGAGAGATTCCGGTTCCGCTGACTACACTCCTGGTTCAAGTGGGAACGTGGAGACAGAAAGCTGCTCGAGGCCAAGCAGCCTTCCTGGGCCTGGACCCACAGTGTTTGAAGTCACAGGCAAAACAGAGGGATAAAGAAACTAACTCTTTGCTAACTTTAAGCTCTGGATGCAACCTCTGTAGACTTGAGACCAGCGTGGAGAAAGGTCAGGACTAGAAGACGCTCCCTGGGAATACTGGTCTAGGAGCTAAATGTGGAAGGAAAAAGAACATCCCTGCTATGGACTGAAGCCAGGCTGTGAAAACACACACCTCAGCCCCTCAACCATCCATTCAAGACACTTATATGCTGCCAACAGCCTGGAAAACACAGAGCAGTTTAAAAGTGACATGTGTAAGCCTGTCCTCCAGGAGACTCATTGTGCACACAAGCCTGAGAATCATGGACCAACAAGGATGCACTTTGAACTGGACCAATGATTAAAAGCTGATGTCACCCAATTTGACAGGACAAAAGAAAATAAATGACTCACAAAGGGTAAAAGCTCCTGACAGAAAACCTCATCAACCACATTCCCAACCAAGGAGGCAGATGAGTGCTGAGAAAGTGGGTCCTCAGAGAGCACTGCCGCGTACGTAGCCTCACCTGTAGTAGGTCTGGGATAACTGGTAGGACATCGGCACGAAGGGCAGAGCCCGGTGTTTCTTTGGGCCCAGTGTGTGGTTGACCCGGCGACGGTTGACCAGGCTCCTTTTCTGGCACTCCATGAAGGCCTTGACGAGAATCTGGTCCTTATACTCCCGGTAAATGCGGAACGTCTACAACAAAATGGGGGGAGCTATCCTGGCTCTCAGACCACTGCTTCTGCCACCCCATTGGACACCACAGAGAGTTGCTCCTACTAGCACGTCACCCCATCCGAGACCTACAAAAGAGCCTGGATTTCCCGGTGCACTCAGAGTGCTCGTGACTCTGCTAGACCTTGTAAGCTGGACCTTGTCCACCTCTCTAGCGTCTACCGTTTGCTTGCCACATACCTGCCTCGTGAACGGACGCCTCTCAGGGGTTTTTCATTTCTCATTCCCATTTCTTAGGAAACATCTCCCGAGCTCTCTGTAGGCTGCATACTGTCTCAACAGTAAGCTCTCAGCTAGCTCCATCCACAGTGGTCCCTCTGTTCCGTCAACTGACTACAGTGTGGACCTTGGATACAGTGGCACCTGTTCAGCATTGCTCCCTCTGACCAGAAGGGAAGTCTCTTCTGCTGCCCACATGGGGGCTCCTCCTGTTGGCCCTGCCATGATGACCTCGTACGAGACCTCCCAAATGAAGAAAAGCCCCCAAGGGCTCCAGGACTGGCAGGGTCTCTGTGACTCTAGTGTTCTGCAAGGCTTAACCAACCAACGAGAGTTAGACACTGGGGCATACACCAGTCTCTTACAGTTCCCATGAGACTTGTCTCTCAAGGAAAAACTATGTGATCTGAAAATTTCAGGCTAGGCAGCCCAATGGCAGCCTAGTGCCAGAGCCTTACGTGACAGGAGTGATCCTGTGAGGCCACACTACTAGGCAGGGGTGGAAACAGGAAGGAGCAACCAGCCTTTCAGCTGAGGGACAGCAGAGATGAGAGTCAGATGGTGGTCAGTCTCCGGGTTCTGGAGCGGGGTGGGGTGTTTTCCTGGAGCTGGACACTTACTGGCTCTTCTCACACTAAAGCCCCTACACACCCTTGTCTTCTCATGTGGCCTTATGGGCAGCATGAGGTGAATGGCAGTGGATACTGGGCTCTCCATCTGATCACAGATGGGTGTACCCTGAACAATTGCTACTCTGGACAGGCAAAGTGAAAGCATAGCTGAGCTTGACAATTGGGGAGCTTGTCCATTCAGTCAAGATTCCAAGAGGATGAACTGCCAGACACAGGGACTGGAACCCCAGGGCTACAAGGGGACCTAGTGGGATGCGTATGACATTATTGCTTAGAGGTCTTCCAGACTCCACTGGCAAGTAAGAATCAGCTTCCTATGTGAGAGGTGGGCGGGCAGGCGGGTGGATGGGCTCAAGTGCCCTTTCTCTTACACTTTCCTTGGTCCCAGGGAGCCTGGTTTCCCTTTGTCGTCCCCTAGTAAAGCCCAGACTGGTTTTTGTTGGTTTGTTAAATGCCATTGAGTGTAGTTCTGACTCATAGTGACCCTGTATAGGGTTTCCAAGGAGCAGCTTGTGGGTTTGAACTGCTGATCCTCCAGCATCACACCAGGAGCCCACATTAGCACCTGGACATGAAACTGGAAGAAGAAAAAGCTGCAGTACAAGACAAGACACAAGGCCCTGCCTGGACTGCAGGCACCTGGCTGTATTCTGGTCTGGATGCCCTCATTTGAAGAAGGTGCACACGAAGGTCCCTGAGGTCCTGTCCAGCTTAAACTCACTAAGCAAGAAAGCTAAGCAATCTATTTCATGGCTGGAAGGAAAGCATTTCTACACACACAAGAGAGTGTCAGGGCCCAAGGCTCAACTCAAAACACTTGCAGGGGCCAGGCAGTTAACATCAACATGGAACCCTCCAGAACGAAATGAAGAAACAGACACATGCCCTGACCAAACAGGCACAGGTCAGTTTTGCCATGCAGACATGAGACCCAGAGTTGTTGTATTTTCTGATTCCTTTCAAGGCAAGCCAGAAATTTATGTTCACGTGAAACTTTGGCAATCAATTAAAAACTTTGTATGTGTGTCGTGAATACAAGCACGGGCCTAAGGAAACCAATGCAATGCTGTGACCTCTACCCTATTCCATTCCTTTCCATGCTCTGCATGCTCCCAGACTAGGTTTCTTCAAGCTCTTGACTGCAAAACGCTGGCATGCAAGGACAGGGGGTGCATGGCACCGATACCAGCCCCCAGCTCAGCTATGCACTCCACTGAGCATCAAACAGGGACAAGAAAATAATGCCACTGTGCTGAATGGTAAGTAGTGTACGGAGACGTGGTCATTGCTTCCTCCCTGATACGAAGTTCCCAGATGCCACTGAAGAGGGACAACAGCAACTCAAAGGAGGGCAGGGCCACTTATGTGCCATACACCGCCACGATCACCTGACATCACCAGTGATACCCCTCGTTTCATGTCCACTTCTGAATCCAGCTTGAACTTCTGGATTTATCATCAGGAAAACTTTACTTGCATGTGACACTGATGATACTAGTTCGGAATTAAATGATATTTGCCTTTTCTCTTTTGTCTTGTTAGGCATACATGACACATAACAGTGTTGGGCTCATCTAAGCTCTTCAAAAACATGGAAGCCTCGATGGCAGCTTCACTACTCAGTGATCACAACCCAAGGGAATCACTTAATGCTTCTTATCTAATAAGCGATGCTGCCCAACTTAGTCCCCTCTCCCTTCCTGTAGCATGCACTTCACTTCCTCCTGTCTCACTTCTGGTCTTACAAAGCAGACTGAAAACCTCAGCAGGGGAGAGACTTTGGAAGCCACTGGACCCCACTCCCACCCTCAATAGAAGAGGGCAGAGAGGGGACGAGTCTCCAAGGGAATCGGACTTCCTGAGGCCCCAGAGTGGGCCCCGGCACCCACCTGGAAAGACTGGCAGGACTTCATCTGATTGTCCGAGAGGGCCAGTGTGCTCTGGATGAGGTTCTGGAGCACCAGAACGTGGATGTCGTCCACACTAAAAGACAGAAGTGGTAGAGCCACATGAGGGCAAGGGCCACAGACAACACTCATCTCCGGGGGGCATTCAATCCTCATTAAAAAAAAAAAAAATTATATGGAAAAGTGACATGAAAATCAAAGTTACCTGAGAAAGAAAAACAAAACCAACGATGCTTTTGAGAGCTTACCAAGTGGTCAGTTTTTACAAGTAAAAAGTTTCAATCTAGTGGGTAACAGGAGGCAGAACCTGGAGACACTTTCCTATGACAGCTAACAAATGGAACTAACTAAGCATTCGTCTTTTTCCCTTCAATTTTAAACATGCTTTTCTACAACGAGAAAAGGCTTCACACTGAAGTGCTGCTGTTGTTAAATGCTATTGAGTTGGTTCCGACTCAGTGACGCTGTATAGGGTTTCCAAAGTGGCTGCAGAGTTTGAACCACCAACCTCATGGTTCAAACCAACCTTGCAGTCCAGTGCTTTATTCCACAGTGCCACACCAGGACTCTCAATGAAACAGAAGATCTAAAATCATACAGAACTAAAAATGACTTTCCAAGTTAAAAACAACACAAAAAAGTTGAGCTTTGAAATTCCAGTTTTGCCTAGCCAGCTCTCACTTAAGAGTTCAAACCTTTCTGCTCAACCCATCCTCAGCCTACACAAGCTAGCTTTTGGGGCTGGTAAGCTTTATCTAGGAGTGCAGTGGCTCCATACAATTAAGCACTGGACTATGAACCACAAGGTCAGCATTTCGAGCTCACCAGTCACTCTGCAGAAAGCTGAGGCCTTCTACTCCCACAAAGATGTACAGCCTTGAAAACCCTATACAGGGCTGCTGTGAGTCAGAACCGACTCGATGGCATAGAACAACAGAAAGCCTTTTCTGTCAAGAGCTAGCTCACAAATGTTTCAATAAATCGTACTTACAAAGACAGGTGCCCACAGCTGTAGGTACCCAAACCAGTAGGTGAGGGAAGGTGCTCTATACACCAGTACTTGCCTGTTAAGTTCGTCTTCTTTACTGATGTGATCTCTTTCATCTCCAATTGCCAGCACTCGGTATCTGCATATGAAACACGAGAACAACAGGCCAATGGAACAAAGCAGACCTAACTGGGCTGGTGCTGCCTCCAGATGGCTATTTATTAGCTAAAATATTGGGAAAAAAACGTTAAATTCACCTAAAATCAAATATTGTACATGTAAATTAAATGAGAAAAGAATATGACCTGCCCATCTAGTCAGTGTAATAATGAGGGTCAACGTGGGAAATGTCCACTGGCAATGAGCTAAGTGTTAAGGAAGCAGGGTATAAAAGTGTGAGCTCAATGGGATGAAAGGGCAAACCTGAGAAAGAAGCCTAGGTTAAAACACACAGAACACTGAAGCTGTGATCAGGGTAGTGAATTACAGACTATCTTCCCAGCGAGTGTTTGAGCTCCAGGGAATATCATTTTACTGTGTTCACAACAAAGAAATAAGTAAGAAAAACAGCCATGTCTAAGACTTTCCTGTAATAGCAAATTCCTCCTAGAATTTAGTGCTACGAGAAAGAACCTTTTTAGAAAAACCTGTGATTTATTTTTAGTCATACAAGGAAAACTATGGAGGCATTTTCTTTTTTGCCTTGGCTGCCAGAATGCTCAAGATTAAATTTATTGTTAAACTGTAACATTTTCTTTCCTATAAAAAATTCAGGATCTCTCCTACAAAAAACAAAAACAAGAAAACCTTTATTGTACCTGTCTGGTACACTGGAAATACGTGTGGATATAAATAACAGAAAGGTAAACCAGCTCTTGGAATATGCTCCAGCCTCATGGGACGAGTCAGTTCACTGACAAAACAAAGTTCATGATCTGCATCCTACTCAAGTGAGGAGCGTCTGCGCTCCTAACAGCAACCACAGTCTCTACTCATAGGGACAAAGCAGTCTGACGGTCAGCGGAGAACCAAGACTACACCAGACAGTGAACTAGTTGGTGCCTGTCCCCACCACTGACCATTCTGACTCGGGTCACAATAGTTGGTCCCAGATAGAATGGGAGAAAAATGTGGAGCGAATTCTTATTTAAAAAAACAACAACAAAACAGTAAAAAGACTCTTGCTCCAAGAGTTTTAAAACCCAGAGCTGAGTCTGTCCCCCTGGGATGACCTTTTAGTGAAACTGTGGAGTGGCACACAAAATGGAGAGTTTTACCTGTAAGATGGTTACCTACTTAAATAAAGGTCAACAGTTAGTCAAAAACAAAGATAAGAGGCTAAGAGAAACAGGAAACAAGAATACTGCAAAGGAAACCAACAGAACACAATGCAAGACAATGTTGAGACACTGTGATAAATGAAACTAATGTCACCAAACACTCTGTGTAGAAATTGTCAAATGGAAAGCTAACTTGCTATGCTAACTTTCATTAAAAACTCAATGAAAATATTAAAAAAAAAAAAAGACTGAATATACATCATGTTAGTGCTCTGGGGAAATAGTTTACAGCAACACAGTACCCAAACCCCCAAAACAGCTATAGGTATCAGTTCTGAAAGTGTATGGCTTGACACATCTTGGAGGTTCCACACAGGCAAGATGCTCATCTTGCAAAAAGCACACTCAGGAAGCCTGAACAAAGTCAGCACAGGAGGCTCGCAAGTACCTAGAACGAGATGCTTCTAGCCGTGTTCAGGGTGCCTGGGGAAGACTGGCGCTCAGACATTCCAGGGACCGCTGGGATTGCTGGACAACGGAGGAACCTCTGACCTCTGGAATTTTACACCCAAAACTGTTCCAGAAGGTAGCACCTTACCTGGCAAATAGCTCCTGCAGGGTATCTGGGATTTCAAGGCTAGGGTTCTTTAGGGACGAACTAAACTTCTCTTTAAGCTTCTCCACAAATTCTTTAAACTCGCTGGCACACACCTTTGGATGTGAGAGAACAACACGTTAAGCGCCTTCTCTGACGCACACCCAGGAAGCCCTCTAGATACCATCTGCAACATGTAAGAAGTAGTCCAGTATTGCCTCCTCCATCCCACCTGGCTCCCACAGGGCCCCCACAGAGCAGACCTGACCAGGCCTGACTGTCAGGAGGTGGCTCAAAGCCAATGAATGCAGCTGCACCCCAGGTCTCTCTCCTGAAGAGTCTGAGCAGAGCCCTGTCCCCAGGAGGCCATCCGCCAACCAGCATCTCCACACCAGAGAGACGTGGTTTTCCTGTGGGCCACCTGGGCTTAGACCTCTCTGGCTCTGGCCCCACTAACCCAGCCTCCTGGCCTACAGTTCATCCTCTCAGGGTGGCCAGAAGTAACTTTCCAACCAGCAAACGGTCACACAGTCCCCGTTCAGTGATGCAGGACTAATGCCCACTCCCTCCTTGGCCTGACCACCCTCCTGACTGTGCTACGTCAGGCCGGCACATGTCTGACACAGGCACCAAGCTCCCTCAGCCTCCAGTGCTCCTGCCCGTGGGTCCCTCGTCTTTGCGGTTCCAGTTCAGTGCTAGCTGCCTGTCAGGGTCTGTTAGCAGATACTACCAGCTGCCAATTTTGCACCTCCCCACCAATCTTCCTCACTCAAAGAGGCCACTGGGATCTGGATTGGGGAAGCAACACAGCTAACCTCAGGGTGTCTCAAGGCCATGTCTAGGCCTGTCACGGCAGCCTCGTTCCCCTGTGCATGCTACTGTCCCCAGTCACATGCCCCAGGTTGACCAGGGTGCTTCAGGCAAGGACGATCCATCTCTGAAACCAGTGTCATGTGGGGCCAATGGGCTCCTCCCTCACGTCTTTCTGCCCAGGATTATGTCGTCAACACCTGAGTGTCACTATAAAGTGATTGGCATGAGGGAGAGATGGCCACTACGGATGACGTCAAAGGATAGACCTGAGTCCTAGGTGGCATCACTGTTCGGCTGCACCAGCCCAGGACTGCTGACGTCCGACGGCTTGGCACAGGGAAAAGGAAGCCTTAGGCTCCATATCAAGTTGGGTTTCTTGATACTTGCCTCAAATCATTGCCAGTGCTCCTTCCCTGGCCTGTGCAGGGCCTGTGTGCTTCTCCGCCTGACCCGCTTCCTACAGGGTTCCAAAGGGGCAGGACTGGCTCTCCCGCTATGGCCTCGCAGCACACAGACCTTCCTTCTTCATGAGACAACTTCTAAGTCCTTGTGACACTTACTGGCAGCCCCTGTGATTCCACCCCACCTGGACACTTGGGCAAAGATCCTTTGAAGAAAAGTGCCTACCCTATCTACAAGCTCTCCAGGAAAGCCTAGCTGCCTGGTTTTCTCCACAAAGAGGCCTGCGGCTCAGCAGCACCTTCAAAAGGGCAAATTCTAACCATTTCTAAACCCTGAGAGCCAGAGCAATAGGCTCCAACGCCAAAGATACGACAAACACACACACTGGCCACACAAGCAGGGAAAACACCCTGCCTATCAGGGGCCAGCCTGACCCTCGGAAAGGCTGCCTCCATGGAGTGACCTGAACCTGTGTCCCCACGGTCTCCCTTCAGCCACATGGGGCCTACCTTTGGGTCACTATAGTTACACTTTCGACTCAGAAAATTTCCAACAAGTGCTTTATCCTGGTACACCTCGGCAAGGCAAACCCTGTAGAAAAAGAAGGTAAACGTGAGGTATGCAAATTGTAATGTCAATGCAACAGCCACCAGACAATTGCTGTTCTAACGTTTGAAGGATTTCCTGGTGTGGCGCTGTAGGATAAGCACTGCACTGCTAACCCCAGCCTGGAAACCCTAGATATGGTCACTATGACTTGGAACCAACTTGGTGGCACATCACAACAGACCCGACTCAGCGGAGCCTGCCAGAGTTCTCGCTTTACACCTTAGCTTCGCTGAGCTTCTGTTTCTTTACGTGCTGAGAACAGTGCCCCCGGCTGACTCTCACAGGGACAACCTCCATGACAGCAGACTGTCGGTTCTCAAATCTCCTATGCTGTGTATTGCTACTAACAGCTCTAATGTCTTCTGTTGTACTGGTTTGTCCATCCTGTAAATATTCCTATTCCCACGATGTAAGGAGAGCGGAGCTGCTTCAAATGACCGAGGGGGAGACAGCCAGCAGCGTTTGCTGAGCTCCTCCATGTAGAGCTGGTGAGGCAGAGACTGTCATTCTATTTGCAAGCTGGGTGCCGTACAGGGTGCCTGAGGTCACACAGATAAATACCAAAGGTTGCCCGCAGTAGGACAGGCACAGTTAGTATCAGGGTTACAGTTCCTGATTCATGGCTGAGGAAAACAGCCTCCAAATGACCCTGTTCTGGAGAACACTCATGAGGACTTGTACCCAGGCATGCTAATGCCAGAGTCCACACTGCTGCTAAGAGAGAGGAAGAGTGCCATCAGGGGTCAGAAAGCCCGAGGTCAACCTCTCACTCCTGCAACAGACAGGCCAACCGCATTCTCTCGCTGAGCTTGCTTCCACTGCTGACCACAGAGGATCACATGATCAGGGCCCTTTCAGCAACGACAGTCACCGTCTATGCATGGGGACACAATGGCGTCCTAGTATGTCCGAGACAGCCCTTCTCAACAAGGACATCTGGAGACTAGTGGTATCTAGTAGAGGCCAGGGATTCAGTGAAACACCCTACAGTGTACAAGTTAGCCACCACAGCAAAGATTTCTCCAGCAGCAAATGTGGATAGAGCGGAAGTCAGGAAATCTCAGCTAGTGCTGACCTTCCTCCACAATCCAGGGTTAACTCCAATCGCTCTCTGAACTCTGGCTGACTAACTTGCTTTGTTGCCAAGCTCTCCTGACCCACTGGCAGTGAGTCTGTCACCATCATGACCCCGCCTTGCCCCCTCTCCCTGTGACTGCACTGCCTGGGTGGCTGGGAGAGTGATGATGGGCGGGCAACATGGCCGGTGAGGAAACGGGTGCAGAACCTCACTGCCAAGGGGATGCTTTGTGACACCCAGGACAGCTGAGAGCACTCTGTCCAATGGGTTCAACAATGGGTGGGTCTCCCATACAAACACCCAGAGCTGCTCTGAAGTGGGACACTCAGTAGTGAAAATCTGCCTACCACTGTTTTCGACAGTAAAAATGGGTAACAGCAGCTACTTCACAAGGCCTCTCTGAAGTCCAAATCCTACCACACAAGTCAGAGTACCTAGAATCACAGCTGGCCCTCAAAAGGTCAAGGACCATCTTACCAATACAGTCTAGCAATCAAAAACTCTAGTGGACAACTGGTGCTCTATAGCTGGATTTTACACAAGAATCTTAAGGAAACGGAATGAAAAAGAACCAAGAATGAACTAGAATAGAAGTACTGGAGTAACGTAGTGTGAAATAGAAAATACGGCTTACTTGTAGTTCAAATAGGCTTGTGGATTCTTCACTAAGTAGCGAGCTCTTCGTCCGACGGAAAGAGATGTTTTATCCAAAGACTCTTCAAGGGTAGCATGAAGTATGTCCCGTACGACCTGCCAGGGGACAAATGGGCCCTTCACCTGGATCAAACACAGAGCGAAGAAGAAAATCAGTATCCTGGGCTGACATTTATGGGTAAGGAATATAAACCCCGCAGTCACTGAGTCCATTTTGATTCACAGCGACTCTTTAGGGCAGAGCAGAACTGCCCCACGGGGTTTTCAAGGCTGTGATCATCAGGAGAGCCGACCATGGGATCTTTCTCCTGGTGAAGAGGCTGCTGGGCTTCAATCGCTGGTCCTTTGTTAGCAACCCACCACTTAGTCCACCGTGCTACCAGGGATCCTTACAGAACAGAAAAGGGGGAAGGGGGGAGGTAAAATACAAGGTTTTGAACACGTTCAAATGGTTCAGTTATGGCCAGTGGAGACAAGGACAGCTATCCATGTGTTACACAGCAATCAAATCTCTTCCAAGTTGGACTCTGATCCAAGTAGGAAACGGGGGCTGACCTTGCGGCTTTGAATGTTTCCTGTTGCTGTGAGGTGCTGCTTAGTCTTAGTGACCCTGCACAGAGTTTCTGAGGAGCCAGTGCTTATCCTACAACACCACGTCAGGACTCAGGTCAAAATCTGACGCGCAAGGCATGCACACTGTGCTTGTCTACATCAGCCATGACTGAGCAGTTTGGAAACCGTGTGAATCCTTGGTTTGAATGATCTCTTTCCTTGGAGAATACTCAAAACTGTCCCCTTTATGCTTTTGAATAAATGTTTACTTGCTGACACTGTAGTCATCAAGTAAACATCTTTTACTCCCACCACAGGATGTTTCTGCTCTGGTGCTGCTGAACCCAGAGTGACACTATACAAGGTTTCCAAGGCTGTAAATCGTCATCTTTCTCCCTCAGAGCAGCTGAGCTTGCAGTTAGCAGCCCAACGTGAAACCCACTACACTACCAGTGTTCCTTTCTGCAGAAGGCGGGAGAAGATACTGATTGGGTGATGCAATTCAGTTGTGGATGTTAGCAGAGTTAGTTGTAACTGTAAAAACTTGAAACTCTAGCATGGGCATAAAATCAACCATCTCAGAAGCAGGAAGAGGGGATCTTACGACCATCAAAGAAAAAGAGCCAGAATGGAGTGCTTCCTTTGGACCACAAGATCCCTTGAACGTGCAAAGGGACAGAAAGTGGTGACACCAGAGGAGTGGCAGAGGAGCTGCAGCAGAACCAAGAACAGAGCCCCACACAGAGCTTCCACACAGTGGGCTTCCCAGCAAGTAAAGCTGAGTGACTTTAGGCAGGAAGCTGTATTAGAGTGAGATACCTCAACGCACTAAGTGGGGAAGCTAGGTTTGCTGACCCACAGAGCTAAAGCCATGTGCCTTCAGGCTGAGGCTGATGGTGGAGGGGTGTGTCCTATGGGTATCTATCAGCAGCTGACGGGAACAATTCTACCCTGAGCATATTCTGGTGTCTGAGCTGTGCGTGGTCACTGCAATGGGTCACTGAGTTGAGATGGGAAACAGGGAGTGTTGTGGGAGGGATGGGTTATGTCATTATCTTTGCACAGGGTGAGTACACAATAACTCTACGCCCAGCACCAGGTGAGCTTCTGGGGAAAGCAGCAGCAGCCACACCTCCAGATACCTGGTGAGAGAGGAGCGTCTTTCTGGAAAGCACCAACTGGACGGAGGTGCAGAGGGTGGTGTATTAGCGGAGGTTATGAGTGTGCTTAGTTAGAGAGTTTTAAAGAATGGCACGATGACACATGCTTAGAAATAGTCTGTAGATTGTATTAGTACAAATAAGACTGAGAACCACAAGGTCAGCAACTTGAGCTCATTAGACTTTCCACAGGAGGAAGATGAGGATTTCTGCTTCAACAAACATTTATAGCCTTGAAAACCCTATACAAGCTTGCTAGGAGTTGGTAGTGACTCTACATCCACCAACCACCACCAAGTTAAGTTAGTTGAACATCTTAATCAATAACATGAAGGAAGGCAGAGCTGAGATGCAGGTGCTGTGACAACTCAAGAATGAGGTTTCTGTTCAAGTGGGGAGTGGAGGGCACAGCTGACAGGGACTGCTCCTCTTTCCAGGACTGCCACAGATGCCCACTGGCAGCTGCTGGAAGTCAGGGCAACACACGGATTTTCAGGCTCTTCCTTAGACAAGGAATTGGGTCGGCATTTGGGAGGAAATGACAGGTCAGATAATATTGAGAAAAGTGTCAGGAAAATAGGACTAAGGCGACTGTAGGCAGGAGAATATCTGTGCTCTTGGCTGACATGGCTGTGAGCCGTCCACACAAACTGGGTTCCTTACGATGCTGCCTCACTGACTACCACTCTAGCTGGCAGTAGGACCCTGGACAAAATGCTGCCAGAGCTCAGTTTCCTGGTGGGACACCTGTCCACCTTGACTGCCCTTTTTGGGGAAGGAGACAGGCAGACAAACTGTCTCAGAGTGTAGAACCTTCTAGAAGGCTGTGGCATCAGAGGAAGGAAAAGGCTGCTGGCCAGAGAGCAAGAGGTGAGGTACACAGGTGCAGAGAGATGTGGGGAATGGAGAACCGTGGGAAACCAGGAAGGCAGGCTGAGGCCACTGACTCAGATTAATTGGTTCCTGAGTATCGACACCATGCTAGGGGCTGCAACTACACAGACGCATAAGACAAGGCCACGCATCATCAGAAGCCATATGACAAGCACACATTCAAGGGACAACAGAGAAGACAGTAATTACTTCCATTTGGCAGGATCCGTGAAGCCCTTCCCAAGATGCTAAGCAGTTACTAAAAGCTAAATAGAAGGTTTTCAGGCAGATGAAAGTGGGAGGAGGGGAACAGGCAAGGGTTGGATTCCTGTAGAGAGAGGAAGACAATAGCTCTGAGCTACTCTGCCTGCATCTAGGCACACCACTGGATATATCTCACTGAAAGCTGGAAAATCATGTGCAAAAACATTATGAATGTGTTGGTTCTGGGGAGTGTTTTCCTGATGGCCAAGCAGAAGTGGAGGGAAGGGTCTAAAGGGTAACAGACAGGAAAGACAGCTCCCGAGAGAGGGGCACACTCATCAGTGAGTCGGAGACTATAAAGGAGGGGTCTGGCAGGCTGCATACCTTGGTGTTGAGGATGTTGCTGGCAATTCGGCAAAAAATGATCAGTCTGTCCTCCTTCATGGTCCAGGTCACACGCAGTCGTGTCATCCTCTGCAAGGCGCTCTGGTCGGCCTCATCATGGTAGCGTGGCCTTCGGCTCTTGTCATCTGGCAGCTCTTCTAAAATCACAGGGAAAACTGGTCTGGAACCAGCACTCTGAAGAGGGAAAGGGTGGCTACCCAGCTAGCAAGACCTGACCAGATGAGTCTGGTTCTGGAAATTCATTGTGTCTAAAGCCCTACAAAATAATCAGACAGATTCATCCTTTTCTCAAGTCTTTCCCCGCAACCCTTTCTGGTTAGATTTCATGGTGACAAGCAGGGCAGACTGAATACGGCTTATTTATTATCTGTCCATCTCCAGTCTGTCCCACTGTGATCTGAGGGCCTTTGAAGGTGCCTTGTACGGAAGCGTACAGAACATGCTCAGGGCATGTCCACTGAATGCATGGGGCAGTGGATTGTGTAGCTTCTATCTTGCCTGGGGTCTCAGAACTGAGTAAACTTGTGTGCACCACGGAGCCACAAAGGTTTAACCTACAGAGCTGTTGTGAGGATTTAATGAGGCTGAATAAAAGACCTAGTATCGTGCCTGGCACTGAGTAGCTGCTAAGTAATTACCATTATAGCAACAATTAAGGAGCTTTGGAAGTACCATAATGGTTATGAGTTGGGCTACTAATCTCAAGATCAGCAGTTCAAAACTACCAGCTCTTCTGTGGAAGAAAGATGAGGCATTCTGTTGCCATAAAGATTTACAGCCTCGGAAACCATATACAAGGTCGCTACAGGTCAGAACTGATTCCACGGCACATAACCACCACCACAGTCACCATTATGGAATATTTACTATGTGACAAGCAGTGCTCTAAACTTTACATACAGATTAACTTACAACTAAAATAACACTTACTTCACAACAAGCCTTATGAAATGAATCCAGTTAGGATTTCCACTTTATGTACTTCCACTTAAGGAAATGAAAACAGTGAGAGAGCAAGGAGCCCAAAGTCACAGAGCTAGAAAGTAGCTGACCGAGGTTCTGAACTGAGAGCTCTAGACCACTACATGCCTCAAGGTCTCCCCATTTCACAATTTCACACAGACACTATTAGCCAGAAGAATGTCCTGTGAGCTTCTTCCAGATTATTCCTATACCAAAGGCTGAAGAAAAATGGGTTAAGAAAGTTTGGATTCAAAATGACCGCAGTACTTTATTTTGCCTAGCAAACGGGGTCTTCCAGCTGAACGGATCTTACATAGACACATCTAAGCTAGGCTAAATCGGCAGGCATTTCAATGCATGCAACACTGTGATGAACATCAGGCAAATCCAATCTGGCTTCTACGGAAACATTGTGTTTTCTGAAACAGATTTTCTTACATGGACTGTCTAACAGGGGTGGTGGGTCCTAGAGTCGGTTCTGACTCATAGTAACCCTGTGTAGGATGGTTTCTGAGGCTGTAAATTTTTACAGGAGCAGAAAGCCTCACCTTTCTCCCACGGAATGGCTGGTAGTTTCCAACTGCTAACCTTGAGGTTAGCAGCCTGACTCATAACCACTATGCTACCAGGTGATACAAATCTGCCGGTAAATTGACTCTAACTCAGCAACCCTGTATAAGGAGGCTTCTGCGACTAAATCCTCCCTCAGAGCAGCTTGTGGGTTAGAATAGCCCACTTTGGGTTAGCAGTCCAGTGCCATAAGGTTCCTAATGCATCTTCTGAGAGGCTGTTGTCAATCTGATCTCAGACAGACATTCTAGAGCAGTCAAACTACTGCTAGGGCAACAGTCTGAAGGGATCATCCAGCATCCATGGCTCCACAAATTCTGGATTCCATAATAATTTGTGCATTTTGAAGATAATTTTTCAATATAATCTTTGGTTAAAATGTTTAGTAATGAAAAAGTGAAAAAACAAAAAAAAGTTCAGTAATAGTTTTGCTAAGGCTTTGTTTTGTAGTTGAAATGGAATCGGAAATCTAAACTGATCTAGAAAGGGAATTACTAAGGTAAAAGGTTCTACAAATATGCAAATATCAAGAAAGTTGGGGAAGCATATAGGAACGCCAGGTTCTCCCAGTCTGCCAGATGGGCTTAGAAAATGATACATCAGGCAATCACATGCGATTCGCTGACAGTTCCACAGGAACACGTACACCTATGCCTGAGGCAGAACTCAGGTCTGGCTGGAGGGAAGCTGCTACTGATCTCCAAGCCAGAGGGGCTGAAGAAAGACCCAACTCAAGCACATGGTCACCAGGGCACCTTGTTTCTTCCTCTTCATCTTCTTCCCAAGGTCCTTCTTCAGCCGCTTCCGCTTCTGGCTTTTTCCACCCCTCACTCTCTTGTTTCTGTCCAGCGTGGGCTCTCTGTCCATCTCAAATTGTTCTTCCCTGTCAGCACAGAGCTCTGGAGCTGCTCGCGCTTCTCCCCAGATATTCAGTTTGCTGCTGCCTACAAAGAACCACAGGAGATCAGCATTTCAAGATGAGCTCTGCAAACGCCAGTCAGGCCATACATGAAGTGCATGGTGGTTGTTTTGATCCTGAACTGGTAGCATGTGTATTTTGGGAGTAAACTCCCAGCATACATACCTCCACTACCAAGTGGCAATGGATGCTTGGTCAGAAATGTCTGCAGCCTCACTGTGAGCCCATTTTCTGAAGCGATGCTCTCCTAAAAGACAAGGAAACCCCTGTAATGAAGCCTAAGCTGGAGGAGACCCTGGAACAAGACAGACAAGGAAACATCCAAGGATCTGATGAAGCTGCCTTCAGGGTGGGATTCTCCAGGGTGTCATTTTAGTAGTGCACCTGTACTCCTTTTTGTCTGCCCCTGCAGCGTGCCAACTCTCCACTCTTTTATAAAGGGCTACCCGGTGCTGTAGGATCAGCATGGGACTATGGAACCACAAGGTCAGCAGTTCAAACCCACCAGCTGCTCCTCGGGTACTCCATAGTGGGTCACAATGAGTTGGAAATGACTCAATGGTACATCACAGAGCCAGTTAGGGTATTGCAGGGGCTTGGGCCAGCTGCAGCACGCCTGCAGATCTGTGCCATCAGTCCAGACGCTGCAAAGGGAGAAGGAACAGGAGGGTGCTGGTTTAGGTCTGCTGGGCCGCCCTCAACGAGCACACACCTTTTTGGCTTTATTGATGATATAACTGGTCCAGATCCAATTGCGCTTTAAGTGTCCATAGAAGCTGGAATCAAGGCCAGCAGCTCCCAGTCCATCTCCGGGGATTAAGCCTTCATCCACGACCTCGCGGCTGCCTCTGAGAGATGGGAAAATACAAAAAGAGCCTGAATAACTGAAAAGCATGGGGTGTCAACCTTTACCTCCCTAGAGGAACCATGACATGGTTATGTCAGAACTCCAGATTTTTGTTTTAAATGTTAAAGATTCCTTTTTTATGCAGCAATATGTGGGCCAAGTATAGCACCACCACCTGGTAGCCTCTGAGCCACTCTGGCTGTCACCCTGGGGGGACGTGGACCTACGTGGTGTACTCCATCATGGCACACTTGCGCTCCAGGTTGTGCTTGTCAATGGCGCTCTCCTGCTCTTTTTGCAGAGTGCCCTCCTCATCACTGCCCTGATCCAGGTTGGTCTTCTTGGGGCGTGGGTTGCGCACCACACCTAGAAAATTAATCACAAGCTGTTGGTGAGCCCACTCTTGCAGGTTGGGGCAGGCTGTGGGCCACTGCTGGGTGGCGTCAGAACAGTGGACAGCCTTCCTGGTTGAACAGGCTCTGCTATACAGGCGAGAGGCTCTGAGATGAGAGCCAGGGCCTCTTTGTACAAAACACCCATGAAAACACTGTTGGAAGGGGGTCAGAGGGAGCAAGAGGAGGAGGAGCAACAAGGGGTGAGGGGCTGTGTGTGAGTCTTGAGAAAGAGGTCTGAAGCCAGAGAGCCCAACAAGCATAGGATACAGTCTCCCTCCCAGAGGGCCCCCCCAAGAACATGGAAAGCCAAGGGGAGGTTTCGCGTGCAGCACTGGTGATGAGAACTGGGGCTGGGGCCGGGGCAGGATCTGGTCAGACAGTTGGGTCTTGCTGAACTCCAGTAGCAGCCAGATGTTTTCTGAGTGCCCAAGGTACACATTACTGTAGCCGAGAAATAAGTTGTTAGTAGGAAATATTAAAAACTGCATTTCTTGTAAGCAATTCTAAAGGACTACTAAAACCAATGACTGTAGCACTAAAAGATAACCAGTGGACGGCTAACTGTAAGGTTGGTGGTTCATACCTACCAGCCACTCCTTGGAAACCTTCTATAAGGTCACTATGAGGCAGAACCGACTTGACAGCACTTAACAACAAAACCATTGCTTGAGTACGGCACAGGAACATCACAGTAGTTTGTGGATGATCAGTCACCGCTCTGCACCACTCCCCCCGAACTGGCTTCCCCTCAGCCCACGTGGCAGCGGTGGTGCTTGGGTTTAGAAATGAGGTTACAAACTGCCTGTTCAAGGACACCAACTTCAATGGCAAGCTGAAGAGTCCTGAAGGTAAGACAGCTCATGTACAACAACAGCTACTTCACCAAGCTGCTTGTTAAAAATGCAGATTTACAGGTTCTCCACAGATCTGCCCAATCTGAATCTCTGTACAGGGCCAAGTTATTGGCTTTTTAAAAAGCTCTTTGGGTAAGTCTCGATCACACAAGTGTTTAGAAAGCCCCTGCTTTAAAGGACTACTTTGTTCATGAGATGATGCCTTCCACCCAGAAATGAATCAAACCTTTGTTGAATGAATGGACAATTCATATCTGATTAGTAGGCTAAGTGAGCTTCTAGCATTTCTGCTCACAAATAATAAAAGGGCTGGAAATCCACCAACTGGCAGTCTGAAAAGGCTCTGATGCAAATAACATGCCGCTTCATAAACTTTATCTGGGTATAACATGCAGGGGAATTAGGATGTTCTGCAAATCTGAGACGGTAAAAGCTTAGAGCTCATGACTGAACACCAGAATTCTATGAAGTAAGCGCATGTAAATTTGTCTGGACCCATTGAAGGTTCTAAATGAGTGTTCCTTACCCTTACAGCATTACACAATTCTACCAAAGAAATATGCGCCTCCTTATTTGCAAACCTCAGTGTGATGCTGATCTCCCTGCTCTGTGACTGGGAGATTAGAATGAGTCCTCTCCCAGGTGCAAATGCCAGGAGAAGAACAGCTGGAGATGGGCTTGTAGAGAGTCTGGGCTCCAGGCTCCACGGCTCACTTAGTGCACATGTAGAAGCTGGCGACTGTGGGCCAGCAGCTGTGCTAGGCCTTGAGGATGTAAACTCAGGAAGCTCACAGGAGGAAAAGAGCTGATACACAAAATGTGGTACAGTCACACAACTGAATACTACTTAGCCATAAAAAGAGAATGTATGCCACCACACTGATGAAACTAGTAAACAGCATGCTAGGTGAAACAGTCTGACACAAAAGGATGTTTCACAAGAGGCCTTCAAAAAGTTCATGGGAAAAATGCAATTAAAAGAATAAAATTTTGCAACAAACTTTTTGAAGCCCCCATCACATATAAATACACTGATATGAAATATCTAGAACAGGCAAGTGCATAGAAACCACGTTCCTTCATGGTTACCAGATGAAGGGGGACAATGAGCTACCCTACGGTGCTACTGCTGTTTTTAAGTGCCATGGACTTGGTGGTGGGTTTGAACTGCTGCTCTTGTGGTTAGCAGTCCACACAATGACTCCAGTTACTGCATTCTGTTATGGTTAAGTGCCATCGAGTTGGTGCCGATTGACAGCGACCCTGTACAGGCTTTCCAAGGAGCGGCTGGTGAGTTTGAACCATCGACCTTGTGGTTCAAACCGACCTTGCGGTCTAGTGCTTTATCCCACAGTGCCACATTAAGACTCTTGTTTAGGGTTTGCCAGGCTTTAACTCTTTGTGGGAATAGAAAGCCTCATCTTTCTTCAATGAGTGGCTAGCAGGCGCTAACACTGGACCTTGTGGTTCGCAGTCCAATGCTTACTGTATGGAGCCACCACATTCCGACAGTCACTGTACTTGTTATGTGCCATCAAGTCAGTTCCGACTCATATGTACCCTGTATAGGGTTTCCAAAGAGTGGCTGGTGAATTTGAACTGCTGAGCTTGTGGTCCAGTGCTTTATCCTGGAGCGCCACACAGTTGGTTTGATGAGAAACATTTGGAAATAGTGATGATGGCTGCACACACGGTGAATGAAGCTGATGTCACTGAACTGTATAATGGATATTCTTTTATGTTACAATTTTAAATAATGATAAAAAACCCAACAGCTGTTCACAGATCTTAGATTAAAAGCAACTCTTCCTCATGACGTGGCAGGTCCCCTTAGCTGTGCTCCCCTCCTCCTCCCCACGCAGCCTCTTCTGTTTCTCCCCACTCCATTAGCCTTGTCCTTGTCCTGCAATGTTCTCCCAGCTCTAAAGCTGGCTCAGCTGAAAGGTGGCTCCCTGAGAAGGCAGTTTCTGAGTGCCCCATCTAACACGCCTGGAATCAGCAGGCTGGGTCCCATCACCCTGCTTATTTCTTCCACAGCCCACAGGACACTCGATTTCTGTGGGCTGCATCCCACGTGAGCAGGAGCCAGGTGTATTTTCATCTGCATGGGGCAGGACACGACACACAGTAGGTGACTGAAGACGTGGAGCTGCTCAGACTAAAGCGTGTGGGGGGTCCACCACTCCTATTCACAGAACCACCTCCCCTTGAGGAATGTCCGAGGACATGAGGCAACCCTAACCCCTCCAGCTCTGACTCTCAGCAGTCCCTCCCACGGGGCAGGAGGAGAAACTGTCAGGCAGGCCTACGCTGTAGGTACCTAGTGGGGTGTTGAGGCAGACGCACTGCAGGTCAAACCAGTAGTTTTCCACATCCTGCATGGAGTCGAGGATGTAGAGACGCCTTTCGAAGGGCCGGCTGCTGTGGGCAAGGTTGTAATGTGGGTCACAGATGGTGGTGTCAACAATAACTGCGTTCTTCTTCAAGTAAATGAACACCTACAAGAGACACAGCAAAATCCCCAGCACTTCAGACACCATAGTCCACAGTCAGGACCATCTTGCTATAGGATGGAGGACTGTACCTGATCTTTATCCTGAAACTTTTCCGTGGGACCAAACTGCAGCAGTCCCATATAGCATAGCCTCTGGAGGCTCTCCATGACCGAGAAAATGTAGCGCCTGCAAAACACAGGGAGTGGCCGCTTCCTTGTACACGACACTGTCACCTGTCTTGGGACTCTGTGTCTGGGGCCAGGGATGCAACTCATCTCTCCCCTTCTCTACCTGGCAGTGCTTGGAGGACTGACCCAAGGCCCAGAGCCTGCCCACCCAAGGCCCAGCTAGGGCACTGCAGCACTGAGCCCACATTCGCGGTTTGAGCTGATCCAGCAAAGTCACACAAAGGAACCTGTACTGGAACACCGGCAGCCTCCATGAGGCAGCATCAGGGGGCCTGTGCTCTATACAGCAGGTACAGAAGAGAAGCAGCTTTCCCTCTGCCTGGTAAAGGAGCCCTCAGAAGCCTGCTTCAGGGCTGCTCTGTGTCCTCACCGCTTGTACAGGAGCTGCTGCCTGACAGGCCTGGGGAGAAACCGGATCAGTGTGTGTTTCTTCAGAGGGTCGTTCAGAAACTCCTCGAGGTCGTCTACCTAAAAAGGCGAAGTCTCAGGTTCAGTTCACCCTGAGGCCACAGAGACTGAAAGAATTATGAATAGATACCACTATTTTTCTGAGTTGCATTTTCTCTGAGCCTACCTACAAAGTTGATTTGAAGCACAAAGTGGCTGGTTCAAACCCACCATGCTCCTTGGAACCCTTATGCAGGGTCGCTGAGTCAGAACCGACTCGCTGGCACCTAACAACAAGCCACCCCATGGTGACAGCCCTGTTCCCTCCTGCCCTCTACCTTAGACTGGCCATTCTTCCATCAGGCCCAACCACCTCACTAGGGCCAATGGGCAGGGGCCCTACCCACTGTGGGAGGGCATATCAACAGCTAAAACATCTCTGGGGAGCGGGGCAATATACTTATTAATATTAAAAAAGGAAGAACACAGATTCCACTTTGATCCTTATCCTGTGGGAGAAACTGAGGGGCTGTTTACAAAACACTACCACAGGCTATTCTTCACCATGCCATCTGTAACAGCAAGAAACTGGAGCATCAATGTCCCAAACCAGAGTAACTCAAGCGTGTGTATATGAAGGGATACTGTGAATCCACCGAACATCAAACTGAAACAGGTGGAAAAAACAGCAAATAAAAGAATATATACATAGCAGAAGCTCAGTTCTCACCATGGGTGCTCACAGACGCATGTGCCCCTACAGTGTGCGCCCCACGCGCTAACATGTGTGAGCACACGGACATACATGCAACTTACATGTGCCAACACACACGTGCCAACACACATGCTCGTATACATGCCCACACGCATGTACTCACATGTGTGCACTAGAAATGTCGATTTCTGTGAGTGATGAGGTCATGGGCAATTTTTATTTTTTCCTTTTTCTGAATTTACTATATTCCTAAAAACAGTGTTTTATTATATTCTACCTACAGCTCTGGTAGCATAGGGGTTACGAATCAGGCTGCTAATCTCAGTCAGCAGTTTGAAACTACCAGTGTTACACTGGAGAAAGGTGAGGTTTTCTGCTCCCATAAGGAGCTCTGGTAGCGTAGTGGTTACAAATCAGGCTGCGAATCGCAAGGTCAGCAGTTCGAAACTACCAGCTGTTCTGCAAGAGAAAGATGAGGCTTTCTGCTCTAGTAAAGATTTACAGCTTCAGAAGCCCTGAACAGGGTCACTATGAGTCAGAACCGACTCCTCGGCACGTAACAACAACCTACTTGTCTGTCTACTTAATTCTACTGAGCTACATCTCTTTGCCTATCTAGATCAACTCCTAGTTTTTCAAGCAACCCCAGGTCTTCAAGCAGTTCTCATTGAGTAAGTGTGTGCAGACCAGCTGGCCTGGAGCTGAGAGGCCGGTCCCCAGGGCGTGTGGGGACCTGGAACCACTGGTATACCTTGTAGCAGACTTGCACAATCTGGACGAAGATGGAGAGGGGCAGGCGGAGAAGAATATCACTGACAAGAGCCCAGCCGAAGCCAAAGTCTCTGTGATTTGGGATGGGTGGGACGAAGCGCATCCACGAGGCATCATTCACATACACTAGGGAGAAAGTGGGCGTCAGTTGCAGCAGAGGGCCCTGGGACCACACAACCCTGAACTGGTCTTTACTTTGCTCCATGGACCGTGTGGGAATTGAGCTAATTACACAGCTCAATATGAATAGGCATAAGGAACAGTAATAATAGTTTCTCTCTTGGATCTTGCCATGAGCTGCTGCCCCAGTCACAGTCCTGGCAGGAAAGCTCACCTGTCTCCGTGGCGAGCTCCACTTCAGCCTCCAAGGTGGTACAGTCTTCGTTGTCTCTGGACAGGGCATCCGAGGATGTCTCTGAGTCATTTCCAGAGAAGGGCTGACCTGCCACTCTCCAGGACTCCCGCCTTCTCCTTTCACTGCACAGGATCGGCTTCTCCACCATGTGGCCAGCAGGATGTCCATAGACCAGGTACCACAGGAACATGTGGACTGCCCGCAGGCGAGGCATTTTGGGCAGGAATCCTAGAGAACGCCCCAGTCCAGGAACTGAGGCAAGGAAGAGGGTCAATAGTGCTTGGAAATCCCCAAGTTGCAGAGTACTGAGTGCCACCATGCCCCAGGGCAGACAGTATCCTCACCCGAGCAACTCACATCCAGGGGGCAAGGACAATACTTCAAAGAGCACATCAGAGAGAAAGAGCCGGAAAGCACAAAAGAGCAAGTCAGGGAGAGAAGGGTCGTCATTGTATAGAGAGAGGGCAAGAAGGCCTCACTGGGAGAGGCTCAGTGTCAAGGCCTATAGCTGGAGGAGTGGGCCACACAGACAGAATGCAACGCAGAACAACCACACTGTTGCCACAGGATGAGACAAGGCTGGAGTGTCCACTAGCAGACAAGAGCCGACAGTCACCATGGCAGGATGCAGAAATCCCATCCCCAAATCTAGGTTCTGCCAAACAGTCAGCTGTCCTGGACCCCCTGCCCCATGAGGACAGGTGTGATAAAAGAAACAGACATGGAACGTGTCACCTTGCCCACCTCTGTCTACACAAGTACATGTATCCCCACCAGGCTGCACGTTATCAAACTGAATCCTCGAGAGCAGAGCCAGGCTTGTGTGGTCAGAGCCTGGAAAGGGTAGTCACACAAGTCACCTTTCATTTGGAATCCCCGGGACCTATGTCCCGTTCCACAGCACTGTCTGCTTGACCATGTTCTGAGCCCTGAGTCAAACTTGCCTTCCTCTGCCAACACACACGGTGGCCAGAAGCAGCAGAGCTCCCGGTGACAACACCCTAGCCAGTGGAGCCAGACCAGCCCAGGGTCCCAATGGGGTGGCCGAGTGATGCGGGAGGCTGGCCAGCCCACTAGAAATGAGCACGTGAGTGTTCAGACTTGCTGGTGGATTGCACCTGCCTAGGGTTTGTGGAGTGGAAGAGCAAATGATGTCATGCCAAGGGTCTTCAGAGGATCATTCTCAGACTGGGGTCTAGTGTACTTTCTCTGGGAGGCCTGCTGCAGCACTAGCAGAGGGGAAACATGGTCCAGGCAGTAGGTCAGATCCGACTCTCCTGACTGCAGCTCCAATGTAGGACAGTACCACCTAACCAGTGACAGACAATCAGACACTGACAGGAAACGTCTCTTACCTACAACAGGATGGTAATTTTTCAGCGGGGTGACGCCCATTTTCTCTTCTGTTTTTTTAATCCGTCCACTTTCAGATTTAGAGGAAGCATTCGGATGAGAGTATCCTAATCCACTGGGACCTTCTTTTCCTGAACTTTCTTCATCTGCCTCCCCTTGGGGCACTGGAGGTGGGGGAACTTTAACCCTTTAGTTTAAATACAGGATGTGATCAGACAGTGAGAGAAAGGACAAGGCCTGTCAACAGGAATTGGCCCTGAGGTTTCTAACTCAGAGACTAGAATGGCTGGGCAGGTGATGGAAATGAATCAAATGTGCCAGGTCATTAAGCCATGTGGAGACCCTCCCTAATTCCCCTGATGTTTCAGTAACTAACAGAAACAAGGACTTCTATATAAGATCTGCTGGCAACTGTTTCACAATACATGTGGGCATCCCACCAAAAACCCACAGCCACCTGACCTCAACTCATATAGCCCCGCTGCACAGCAGAACAGAACTTCCCCATGGCTGCAAAGCTGTACAGAAGCAGACTGTCACTCTCTGTCCAGGGCCTTCTGGTCAGCAGCCAGGCACTTAGTTACTGTGCCACTGGGTTCCTCACATGTGGGCCAGTAGAGGGCGAAGCACACAGCACATCTGCAGGCCAGAACCAGCCCCATCTGCCTACTGGCAACCTTGAGTTTAGACCCAACTAAAAGTTCTCTCCTTAACCAAGTTTCCTCTTAGCCCATCAGGTAGTTTATGAAGAAAACCTTTAAGACCTCAGAAAGGCCACTAAGGTGCACGCAGCACAGGGCCTGTGATTTTGAGTAATGGTAAGATCTGTTGTCTTCTTACAGAACCCTAACTGGATGTCTGTTTAGAATAGGAAGGAGCTCAAACACGTATCCATAAAGGACCGATTTACAAGTGGCTGCGGATGGAAAGAGCTTAGCTACGAACTCTTCGAGGACCCTATCACTTGCCTGCTTGCTGTGCTGGAGTTGGAGATCCGGAAACGGACCTGCTCAATGGCGCTTCTCACGAGAGGATCGTTCTGGTCCATTGAAGGGTGCACCACCAATTCCACCTGCAGAGAGAGGGAGGAGGGAGCAGAGGATGTGAACAGATCTCCATGCTTCTGTTCCTCAGTGGAACCACAGTTATGCCTGTTGTCATGACTGCAGCATAAGGTGTCAGTGACAGAGCTCTGCTATTGGTAATGTGGCTGCTTCACTCAGGAGCTCCAGATGGATAAGAGCAGTAGGGCCCACAGCGCCTTCAGCACACGGTCACAGCCCAGTGGTCTCTCAAGCTCCCGACATCCCTTGGCTTCGACCTGAGAATTCCCCACAATTGCATACAAATCTGGAGAATTTTCATCTAGAAAAGGGAAGCCGCTTCCATTAATCTCCCCTCAGGAGAGTGCCAGGTGCCTTTCTAAACAAACTGGCAGAGAATTGAGAACTATTTCGTTTTCCAAGGTACCGGAGCTGAACGCTTAATGGTGCTTATTTCAGAAGACATACAGGATGCAAAATGGAAGGTACTTGAGAGAGAAATGACATCAATATCCTGTAAAGAGAGGTGGGGTCCAGCAGAACGGGTGTGCATCTAACAGGCTGAGCAGGGGACGGGAAGTATAGAGCGTGGGAACCTTGGTCACACTGCCTACACTGAGACTACAAAGTCCACACTTCTCCTCCACTCTTCATTTGTGAAATGGGAACCTGCCTCCTGCCTTGCAAATGTTTCTGTGGTTTTGTGAGGCTCACAGGAGACAGTGAGGTGACACTTCACAGAACTGAACGGTAGAAAACCACAGCATTCCCATCTCCCCACTTCCTACAGGCCCTGAGGCAGGGCAGGACCAGGAACACAGGCGCAAGGCTGCAGTCGGCTCCAGAGCACATTCGCAAGGTGCCAGGGACAGTCCTGCAGAACCTTATGCCAATGCTTGATACAGACAGCCCTGCAACCCTTTCCAGGAGGAAGAGTGGGCCCTGTAGCTGAGGTAGGAGGTCCCATTACCGGGCCCTCTCAGTTCTGAGGTTGGACGATCCTCCCTGCTGCACCTGTGCCACAGGGCTGCCCCCTCCATTCCTAAACAGGGGGAAGTTTTCTTACTCTGTTACCATACTGAGCATACTGCATGTCCACAAGAGCTGATGTGTGCAGAGCTTGCTGAAGAGCCAACAGAAATAGGTGCTATAATTGCAGGCAGGCTGGATTGTCTTGTTCTGCGATCAGAAGACACTGCCCAGGTTTCTATGCCACTGCTTTAAAGTGGCAAGATGGCTAGGGATAGTAGGGAAGGGATAGGGTCAAGGGGACTCTGCTGATATAGTTTAAAAAACTAAAGACATAAAAAAAAAAAAAAGAGAGCTGTCACCTAGGGAAAGTAGTAGAACCAGTGTTTCTTAAGTCCATTTTCTGAAGTGCTCAGATCTTCCTAATTTCTCCAAAAGAAAAAGGTTCAAAAAAAGAAATGACCTTGCCAGCTTATTAACAAAACAAAGAAGCAAAGCAGAAAAGCAGAGCCTTCTTAAGGCAGACTTAGAATGCAGTCATAAAAGATCAGGAACGCAAAAGTGACTTTCCCAGAGCACCCTTCTTCATGGTCTCAGAGCCCAGCTGTGCTACCTCAAATGACTCTGACCCTGAGACATTTATGCTTTAGACTACATGGAGAGCAGCTGAGCTACGGTTGCCATGGGAATGGCCCTAGACTCTAAATTTTACAGAAACAGATAAATTAGTAGACAGAAGGGATCTATTGTTCCCATTGGATAACCCCAGCAGTGCATCCCAACTGAGCTGCCACCATCATTTCCTCTGGGATTTGTCTCCTCGGATCTCTCTGGAAAACATTCTCCCTTATGTTACTAATTTCTCCCCAACATTCCTCTGCTAAACTGCAATTGATCACCATTTTCCTTTCTGAGTATTACAGCTGGCTGCAGAGTTGGTCACCAGCCTTGGCCAATGACATTACAAAAGGATGCTACTCTAGGATCAAAGTAAGTTGCTGCTCTTTTCTGCCTGCAGCTTCCACATAAAGTGGGGCGCACTCTGGTATCCAAATTAGGAGGCGTAACAGAACACTGAGTATTGGTAACAAAGAAACACTCAGATGGTATGACCAGAGAGACTGGACAAGAAAACTCCCCAAAGGTCCGGGTAGCTTTGGGGGCATCACGAGAGCCCGCATTTACCTTCTTCTTGATGCCATCTTGAATGACGGTAGTTCTGTACAGCCTCAAGAGACCTTCCTCAGACAGGTTCCGCACCAAGCGGACAATGGACTTCTTACAGCACTTGGTGGACACACCTTCTTGCTTCTCCTGATCCATGATCATCTTCTGAATCCTGAGGTATCACAAAATAAGCAGTCAATATTCCCAACCCCAACAAGGTCGGCCATTCTTAACCCCAACAACCAAGGCACGACTGCTGGGTCCAACAGACTAGGGAAGAATTAAAAGGGGTTTTCACCTTGGATAGGTTAACTTCTTAAAATGCTAAAGATCATCCCTCTGTGGTGAGTTAGTCTTGGATCAGGAACTAAAGAGGCTACAAGGATTTGACATATGACATTGCGAAGAGGGGGAACCACTCACCATGATGCAAATTAGTCTCCGGAGTCTACATGTTACTATAACCTTCAGCTAACGATTGTTCTGGTTTCGACCCCTCAGATCTGAAGCTCTTTTTCACTGCTCTCTTGATATAACTACCTTACTTTTCAGATCTTTGGCAATATTGCTAGATCACAGATGATAGGATGAAGGGCTAAGAAGAGACACTATGAACACCTAGAGTCCTGCTGTGGCACTGTGGGTTAATGCGCGGGACTAAGAGAGCTGCGGTTCAAGCTCACCAGCTGCTGCTGCTCCTCAGAAACTGTACAGGGTCACTATGGGTCGGAACTGACTCGACGGCATTTAGCAACAAACTTGGAGCCCTGGTGGTGCAATGGTTAAGCACTCAGATGCTAACTAAAAAGTTGCTGGTACAAATCTACCAGTACCTCCATGGGAGGAAAACTGCACCTGGAAAGATCACAGGCTCAGAAACCCTATGGGACGGTCTACTCGGTCACATGGGGCCACTGAGTCACAGCCAACTGGACAAACACAGAGCAACAGCCAAACTCCTCATAGGATTACAAGATGGTCTCCGTGCCCTCTGGTCAGCAGAAAAAGAACTTGTGTCCTTTGACTCAGACATAAAGTTCCTTTCTATTGAGCAGCTTTCACTGATGCCCAGCAGGTGGTGGAAGACACATTAGGACGACCCCATCACCCCAAAGCACAGCTTCAGTCTTCTTTGTTTAGGCTTTCATGTAAGGAGACCTAAAATAAACAGCAATGCTACCAGCAACCTACGCGTCTTCTTCCTCTCAGGTTGCCTCATCTTTCTCCCGTGGAGCAGCTTCATGTGAAGCTTTATGGTTTGCAGTTGAGTACTTCACCACTATGCCACCAAGGCTGCTTCTCCATCATTTCTGACTCATAACAATCCTGTATAGGGTTCCTAAGGAGCAGATGGTAGGTTGGTTTGAACCACTGACCTTGTGATTACCATTTCAGTGCTTAGCTCACGATGCCACACCAGACTCCTGGTCTTGTATGTTGTTATTCCTCAATGTCTGCACTTTTCAAAGAACAAGAAAAACTCTACATCCTGCTTACCACTAAAGGATCCTGTAAGAATTTGTACTGTGAAGCAGAATTCAATGACTCTCAATCATGGCTGTGGATTGTGATGACTAATTCATACGAGAGTCAATGTGACTAGAAGGCAGCCAGTCAAACTCCTACTTACGTGAATAAGCTCTCGATTAAGCGGAGGTTGGTGACGGCTTCAATGATGAGATTCCTGCGTTTCAGCAGACGGTAAGTTTCGTGGGGCTTGTCCTGGTTTTGCTTCCCAGACTTCTGAGAGCTGCTGCTCTCCTAGAACAGAGACCAAAAACACAAGGATGCACTGGTTCAGCTAGGCTCCTGCCGCAATACATGGCCTCATCAAGCACCTACTCCCACACGGAAAGAAGGTGCCCACGGCCCATGTCAGCCAGTGGAGGGTCTCCAGGAACTTTAGGAAGCTCAGCTGGTTTCAGAGCAGCACTTGGAGGCATCCACCACAGCAACCACTGAAGAAGTACTTCTTCCTCAGGGAATCACACTGTTTAACCATCGTTTCATTAGGATCTCCATCTCAGAGGCCCAGGGCTAGAGGGGTCAACAGGGCACTGCTCCAAATGAGATGAAGCAGGGATGGCTTCAGGCTAACAACAGCTTTCCATGTAGGGAAGTTAGGATGCGCAGTAAGTGAAACGAAAAATGCCCTCTTCTCTCTTAAGGTCTCCTTCCTGGCTTCCCTGGCTTCAAATGGATTTGCTCTATCTGCCCTTGGCTCTGAGTATGTCAAATCCCAAATGTGAACCCTGAATGGGGAAGAAGTCCTATCTCAAGCATATTCCTTCAAATCACTTGGCCCAAGTTAGCCTGAAGGCATGCTTCACCTGACGCTTTCTTCACTGGAGTTGTACTTTCAGGAAGATGAGGACTCAGAGAGAGGGCTTGTGATGGTGTCACACCAGCCAGAAAGCCACTCACTCCACCAATGGCAGCTCGGAGCTCCAGGTGAGTCACATAGCTCTCTCAAGAAAGAGGAGGAGGAGAGCAGGGCTAGAGGAGTGAGAAACTCAAGGGGTCCAAGAAGGGCCTGAAGAGGGCAAAACGACTTGGCTGCTCCCTTCCCTGATCCAGGGACTTCCTCAAAGGCAAAGCAGGTAAGTAAATCTGCCACACTCGTGAGGTTGCTGGCAAGCACAGTGGAAAACATGCAGAATCCCATGGACTGCGGCTACTCTCTACAAGGTATGCAGGAGAGAGGTCAGGCTGCTGCTGGGACACTGGGAGGAGAGTTCCGCAGCCTGAGCACATCTGAGTGAGGACACTAGGTGCAGGCTATTCTGACACCTGGGCCAGATTGCTGGAGACCTGTAGGGGAGGGGCGGGGAAAGCCCCAGCTCTCAGGCAAACAAAAGCAGTCAGGGCTCAGGAGGGTGTTAGGATCCAGTGAACTGAGGGCTAAAAGGGCCTACAAAAATGAAAAGAAGACCTTCCCCACCCTGTGGCCCCATCGCCTCTGCCACAGGGAGACCACCTGTAGCGATGATGATCTCAGCACTGAGCTCTGGCCCAAATGTGAAGCCATATATGGGAAGGAACGGGGCACACGTGGATCCACGTCCTCACCTGGCCACTAAACTTAGCAGAAAAGTAACTCACTTTCCTCATCTCAAACCAGGGATGAGATCTATCTTACGGGGTAGCTGTGAGGCTGGAAAGAAGTCACAGCTGCAGCAGTAAAAGCCACCACGGAACCCAAGTCAACTCCGTGCTAAGAGCCTTGTCCTCCGACTCTGCTTACCACACAGGAGGTGCCACTGGCAGTATTTGAGGCACTTTTAGGGGCAAAGGACATGCATTAGGTAAAAATAACAACCAAGACAGTCCTGTCAGCTGCCATTAAAGAAAAAAACCCAACCTATAATATATTGATTTATTCAGTTCCGGTATTCACATTAAGTAGTTTCAGAATTGGTAATGTTCTGGGTCAACTACCTTTTAATTTAGCTACACTGATGAACAGGTATTGGTTTGATTCTAGTCTATCTTTAGCTTAATTTTGACACATAACAGTATCTACAGACTGTAGTAATAATATAGCCTTTTCTATTTTATCTACATTGATTATCTTCTTTCATGACAAATGATACTGGCCTTTCATCTAAAGCAGACTTTCTTAACCTTACCAATGTCAATATTCTGGGTCAACAAATGTGCTGTGGGTGGCTGTCCTGTGCATCCCGGGCCTCTACCGCTCCCCAGCTGTGACGATCAGAAAGAGTTCCAGGTATTGCCAAATGGGGCAGGGAAGGGCTGGCCCAGGGTGAGAACCACTGATCTGAAGTAGGGATACAACTTTCTAAAACAAATTGATTTGAGAGTAAGTTGCTAGCCAGGGAAGAATGGCGTGGCAGTGCAGGGACGTCTGTGCAGGGTGCAGATGACGTGAACCTGCATATGCCGGGGGTGCGGTTACTGTACGGTCACTGCATTTGCTGTGGTTGTGACTCTCAGCAGACACAACAAGACTAGCGCCCCTCCCACCGCCAGCACTGACCTTCGGGTTTTCCAGCCTGACTTCCTCAATCACGGCTATGTCACCATTGTTGGTCTCCACGCAGTGAGAGCCATAGGGCACGCTGGGGTCTGAAAAGCCACTGGCATCAAGAAGGCCGTCCCCACCGGAAGAGCTCCAGGCTTTCTCCTCGGCAGCGCCCATGGAGCAAGATGGCTGCTTCTTCAATGAGTGTAGGTTTAGGACCTTCCACCCACCTGTGGGGGAGGCAGTTGGGAGAGGGCACATGAACACTGGTCACATCACAGGGAAAATCAGTGGGCACTTATTTATGCTTGGCCCAGACCAGACCCATGTAGATCAAAGAGTTCCACTGAGAACCACTTTAAAGATGAACACAGTGGACCAGGCAAAGAGCTCATGACCCTCCTTAGTTAGACTTAGTAAGTCTGTATTGCATCACCCTCTATGCCATGTGAAAAAGTATCTTCTGTAAGAAAGCACTGAAAGGTTCTGAAATAGACCACTGCAGGGAAAGGTATCGGGGGAGGAGTTTACGAATAAAGATACAACACAAGGTGCCAAGGAGAACAGCCAGGAGACAGACCACATGACAGCCTCCTCCACACTTAGTGGACTATCTGATGCAAGTGACACCGCAGACTCCACTGAGGACAGCACCGAGGTAACTCAGGAGCTCGCTGAGTGGAAGCACCCACCCTTGCCAGGGGTCGGGTGGTGAGCCCCGTCACCTCTGCCTTTCCTCTTGCTGCTGCTGCTCCGGCTGCTCTCCTCCTCACTGTCTGACTCTGAGAGGAACGTTTCTTCTCCCTCAGGCAGAAGCAAATCCTCCTGCACGGAGGCCAAGCTCACTGTGGTCAGGAGCTCCCCTCGTGCTTTCTCCCTCTCATACTGCCGGCTGAGATCACTCTCTTCAGCAAATACGCACGAGATGTACTTGGTGGTCCGCTGACGACCTTCGTCTTCCATGAATCCCTAGGGGGATTAGACACATCAAAAACGGCATTCGAGTGACATGAGAGTCTGAAGCATGTGTTCTCCTGGCCCCTGCGTCCCTGTCAATACCCTCAGCCCATGGATGCTCCCTCCCAGCTTCCTGTCGTGTCCTTCCCAGCCAATAACCCCTTCTAAATCACCATCCTGAATGCATGTCTCCTCAGAGACTGTTAGCTCCTCGGATTTAAGGGCCCTAACTCAGTCTTCCATGTAATCCCAATGTCGAAGAAACAGGTCAGCAAGCAGGAGGCTTTGTCACACACAATTCTGCAGTTTAGAACAGCTGCCGTAGACCGTGGACACCAGCTCCACTCAACCACAGTCACTGAGATCGATGAGGCTGCCACCAATCCTGTCCCACTTAGCTCTAGAACTGTTAACATCATTGCCGGGACCAGTCAGAGGCCAAAGATGGTACTAAGTGTTCTGCATTCACTGAAACCAAGCAGGTTCGCTTGGCTGATGCTTCATGAACACATTGCCAGGCCTTCCCCTCCACAGTACTACTGCACAGGTCTGAAGTAGTGACCTTACAGCCAGTAGTCAAAAGCAAACTGCTGTGCCCACAGGAATCTCTGCTGATTGACTATCCAAGCACAAGTGAACTCTGAGTGTTGTCATGTCCTCTTCCCACAACTCATTCACTCATTCAATTAAACATAAAACCAAACCAAAAACCACAGCAAGAGTGCTACACAGCATGCCAATGGCTGTTATTAGGCTGGGGTGGCCATCTGCCTCCCTGACCGTCAGTCAGCAGGGCTATGCCACGGCACGTGCACCTCCAACATCCCTTCAGAATTACCGAGCATGCGCATCCAAAGACAGTGCCTTATGCAACAGGATTTATGACATTACCTTAACAACTTTAAATCGTTGAAGAAGACGACACAGCATTCTTGCTTCCAGTTTCCCCACATTCATAGCCACTCGGATTTCAGCTTGGGAAATTCCTTTAGTGCCTCTGCGTTCAACTGTATTAAAGAATACACATGAACCCCAACTGCTGCTAGGGAGCCACTCTGCACAGCTCCAACTAATCCCTCCCTACTTTTACACATAGACATTTCAATGTACTGAGCTCCACAGAACACAGTGTGTATCAGAGTCCCTCCCTTCCCCTCAAGAATCTTTGATGAAGAGTACTAACAGCTAACTGAGTGCTTCCTATAGGATTTCTCCATAACGAACCACGAAGTGGCCAACCATCAACTACTGATTTACCATTATAGCAACCTTGTTTTCATCTAGCAGAAGAAAAAATGAGTTCATTCACATAAACACATTTTTCTGTGTTTGTAACTGAAATTGACCTTTTAAAAAGCATCAAACTGATTTTTAATTAGCACGTTTTCTTAACTTCTTGTCCTTGTGGTAGAAAAAGCACCATGGACACTGAAGACTGACTGCTCTGTAATGCGGTCTGGCCGCCAGGGACTACAGGAACAAGATGCCATTCAGCCCCACATGACGGACGAGCAGATTGTGTGCTATGACTTACTCTATGTCATCTGTCAGCTCTTACACTGTATTGCTACTAATCTGGGACTGGGAAGGTATGAAGAAGGCTGCTTGCCAGGGAGGGGGCATTCCCACTAGAGTAAAGCAAATGAACCGCAAACTAAGTTTGTGACAAAGCTTTCGGAATATTCAGAAATCATTTCTCTTTACTTTCTGATGCAGCCACATGCACGGCTGCCAGGTGAATTCAAAGTGGATGCAGAGGGGGTCTGCCACACTGAATTCAATGGCACTGTGAGGCAGGTGGAGCTACAGGGCCTGAGGACAACTTCTCCCAAACTGTGTCCTACGGACTGCACTTTGGGAGATAAGTGTTGTTCTCCTGACACAGACCTGAGGTTCCCAGCACCCACGGCCCTGGGCCCCAGCTGTCTGTACAGGCATCGGCATGAGGAATGGCAAGGATGGTGCTGCCTCCTCCTCACGAGCATTCCTCACCTGCAGTGAGCTGATCCATGTCAAAAGGGCAGAGGGAACCGTTACACTTTGGATAACTGTAATAAACCCCATTTTCTGAGTGCTTGCTATGTACCAGGCACTACACAGTGTTTTAACCCTGCTCCTTGTTTAGCCCTCATGTGACGTGATAGTGGTGATGCCTGCCTGCCGCTGTTAGTACTGACCCATACAACCCTGTATAGGGTTTCGGAGGCTATAGACCTTCATTTTTCTTCCAGAGAATGGCTGGTAGTTAGCAGTCTAACTTGTAACCATATGCTACCAGGGCTCCTTGTTAGTGTGGGTACATCCCCATTTTACAGATGCGGGAACCGAGGCCCTGTGGCTTTGCTAGAATAGAAAAGCAAGGACTGAAAGTCAGATCAGATCCCAAAGCCTAAACAAGGACACCCTGCAGACGAAAATGCTCAGGACTAGGCAGGTAAGTGTGAGAACAGGACTTACTGAGTTCGTAGGTCTGCGTGAGCATGTCGCGCTCAAACACGATGTCCACCAGAGGCACTGCCTTGGAGATGACGTCCTCATCATCATCATCATCCTGGTCATCTTCGTACCGCCGGTTAAATTCCTTGAGCAGTTTGAGACACCGAACCATGACGTCCGTCCCTAGGAACACAAGCACAGGTTTCAGTGCTGCTCGCTGGAGTGAGTGCCGCTGACTCTGCTACACAAGGGCCCAGAGAGACGCTATGGAGGCGGCCACGCTGGAGGCTGCACATCCTGGGGGCAGGGCCTGAGAAGTTACTCCTCAAGACTGCCCCACCCATTCTGTAAACTGGGGTTTAGGCTAAAGTTTACAGAGCAATTTTGTTTTCCAGTCAACAACTGACACACAGTTAGTTTCCTAACATTAGCTACAATTCCTTCCTTCAATGTAATAGCAATTTTCCTGGTTGGTTCCTTTCTGCTTTCCCAGAATCTATCTGCCCGTTTGTCTACCTCCCTCCCCACCCCTCCCCCAAACCTTTTGAGCATTGTTTTTGGGCGAACGGTGCCCTTTCAACCTCATAAGGTTGATTGTGCTGAGTCCTTCCTTCCTCCTGAGTGTTACTGTTCATTCTATAGGCTGATCTGTTGCTTGGCTACAGGATGATCCCTGAGGGGGAGCTCAGTTCCAGGTATGAAGGCGGTCTCAGAAGTTCCACCAGCCTTGATCAGACTAGTTAAGTCTGGTCTTGTTTATGATTTCGAAATGTGTTCTACATTTCTCTCCCACTCTGTCTTGGACCTTCAGTGGTTGGTAGTGGTAACCAGGTACCACCTGGCTCTTTTGATTACAGGGTCATGGAGACCATTAGTCCTCTGAACTATTTCCTTGAGTCTTGATTTTCTTCTTGTAAGACCGCATTTCGTTTTCAATAGATTGGTGACCCAAGAAACTGAAATGAAAGGAACACCGAGGTGTCACGTCAGTCCTGCTAATCAGTGGCCGTCTCTGCTGTGAGGTAAGTCATATGACAGAAGCTGCCTGTTTTCTCTACAGCCTCCCCAGCACTCAGTCGGCAGGACAGCAGCACTTGCTGAACAAACAAAAACATCTTTTTTCTTTGAATACAGGCTAATACTCAATGCCAAGAAGATGATGGCAGACATGTAATGAGTTCAGTATAACTCTTCTACAGTATTAAGAGACCAAGTAGCATTCACACCCTAAATGCGGATTCCAAGAGAGAGAATTTATCCCAAGAAAATCATTTAAGGAGAGGCAAAAGCCACAAGTACTAATAGGGCCATTACAGCATTCTTTATGACATTAACTTTTATGAGTATTCTAAATAAACAACAGTGGCGTATGTCACCATGAGAGCACACTCATGCCTTCAGACGATCACACTGTGCCTGCCGTATGAGATGAAAACACAGCAAGCCTGTCCCTGCGGTTAGAACAAGAGAAAGACAGGCGTATACATGGACTAGAAAGGTACCAGGAAAACCCAAAAACACCTAATGTGCTAACTCACTTGATCCTAACAAGCTAGGAGCAAATTACAGATGAAGAAACTGAGGTAACTAACTTACCCCATCTCCCAACCTCACGTAGTGATAAGAGACAGGATTACTCAGGTGAGGACACAGGGCTCTAATACCTGAGAAAGGGGTTTGTACTAAGACATCCCATGACACATGATGCGAGTGGGTAGGCAGAATAGTGGCATCGTCAAAGATGTCCATATCTGAATTCCTGATGTTCCCTAATGTATTCATGTCTGATGACTGCCTGGTGAGGTATCATGACTCCATAGTGAGGCCACAAAAGGTCTCGGGAGACTGAGGCACAGTGGAATGTCCTGGGTGGTGAGAGGGACATGTGATCTTAAGGAGGGGACATGGAATCTTTGTGCCAAATGGCCTTGCCCTTTGTGTTGACATCCTTTTTTAGTGTTTGATTAAAAATAGGTCAGTTAATATGACTATTATTCAAATTCGTACACCAACCACAAAGGCCAAAAATGTTGAAATAGATAATTATTACCAACTTCTGCAGTGTGAAATTGATTAGACATTTAATCAAGATTCATTGGTAATTACTGGTGACTGGAGTGTGAAAGTTGGAAAAACAAGAGGAAGATGAGCAGTTGGAAACCACAGCCTGATGGTAGACAGCACGCCGAAGATCACGTAATTATGTAAAACCAACAATTCATTTGTCAGAAGTACCCCTTTTCAGCCTTAACCATGGGGGAGTGGTTCTGGGAGTGTAGTGGTTACAAATCGGGCTGCGAACCGCAAGGTCAGCAGTTCGAAATGTCCAGCTGCTCCACGGGAGGAAGATGAGGCTTTCTGCTCCTGTAAAGATTTACAGCCTCGGAAACCCTGTTCGGGGTCGCAACCGACTCAACGGCACTTAACAACAACAACAACAACAATACATGTGGAAAGGAGACTTGGTGGCACAGTGGGTTAAGCACTGGGCTGCGGACTGAAAGGTTGGCAGTTCAAACCCACTAGCTCTTTAGCAGAAAAAGATGAAGCAGCCTGCTTCAGTCAAGATTTACAGCCTTGGAAACCCTAGAAAGGATGTCTACTCTGTCCTATAGAGATATGGTGCCTGGCATAGCTTCATGGTTCTTCTGTCTCCTGTTCCCTACAAGACTGACCACAAACTGCTATAACAAAACAGTATCATCTCCCCTAGTTCCTTCCTCTTTTTCATGCCCAAAGACAGGCCCACAGAGTTGAGTTTTTCTTATCAATTGTGCAGGAAAGCAAAGGTATTAAAAATAACACATAGGGGGCCTAGTAACATTTAGGAAATTGTGTCAATGTTCTTCATCTAGGGTTTCAGACTCCATGTTTGGGTCCCCAAGGTCCTAGAAGTGAGACCGGCAGAAAGAACGGACTTTGTATAAACTCTGAAGTAATACCAGTGACAGCAGTCCCTCTCTTGAGGACTGTGAACCAGGTACAGTTTCAGAATGTCCCACCACCACGATTGGGTCCATTCCACACCTCCTTCCCTACAGCGCATCCCAGATGAGCTCCTACTGCCAAACTGACTCCCCTTGTGGCCACTCATGTGTTCTCACAGACCCAGCACTTGCCTTTGGACTCTAAGTACAGGGAGCTTTCCCTTCTTAACCCCCAAAGCAATCAGCTGAACATGCTGTGGAAAAGTCGCTGAAGGCAGATCCTGCTGACCACAATACCACCTCAACTGTTGCCTACTTCAGTGTGATTTTCCAGAATTCTCTCCAGTCCCTTTCACACATGGTCAGCACACTCTTTGCAAAGCATGGCTTGTTCAAAGACTGAGATGTTTCTCCGTGAGTGCAGGATGGAGTAAGCTCTTCTCTCTTGGACAGGACTGTTCCCTGCTATGGGATGTGCTCCCAAGGTGCCTGAGCCTCAGGGAGAGGCCTGGCCCTCAGGGAGCTGTCTCAGTCCCTGCAGTTACTCAAGTTCAGGATTTATACCATCTCAACTTTTACCTTTTCTCTAACTCCTTTAGTTCCTGGCTTACGTCACTTTTATGTTAAACTGTTATTTCTTTTATATTTATTATTGCACCAATAAGCAACATCATGATCCACAATTAATATGCACGAAAGCAGGAGTCAAGAAATCAAACAGCTTATTGCATTAGACAAATCTGCTGCAGAAGACTTTACAGTGTTACAAAGCAAATATGTCACTTTGAGGACTAAGGTATACCTGCTGAACCAAGCCATAGTATTTTCAATTGCCTCATATGCAAGCGAAAGCTGAACAATGAGTAAGGAAGAACAAAGACAAATTGCTATCTTTGAACTACGGTACCGGTGAAGAGTACTGAATATGCTATGGACTACCAGAAGAGTGAACAAATCTGTCTGGGAAGAAGTAAGGTCAGAATGCTCCTTGGAAGGGAGGATGGTGAGACTTTGCTACGCATACATTGGACATGGTTATCAGGAGGGACCAGTACACGGAACAGGACACCACGCTTGGTATAGAGAGTCAGCAAAAAAGAAGACTGACGCTCCACAGGACGGACTGACGAGTGGCTGCAACAACAGGCTTAAACACAGCAGAGATTGTGAGGGTGGTACAGGACCCAGTGGGGTTTTGTTCTGTTGTACAAGGGGTCCCCGAGTCACAAGCTACTCGATGGCACTTAACAACCAATATTTATCTTTAGTAATGATAGTATTTCTTTTTCATTTGTTATCTAATGTCCTTTCATCACTTTTGTTACTTTTACCTTGAAAAAAATCTTGATTTTATTTTTCCTCCTCTTAGAACTATTTTCTAGACTTAAAATTTCTCATCATTTTCTTTTAATGTTTATGCTCATCCTTTAAACTTTTGTTTTACTAAGCTTTGCTTTTTAAAATTCCAGAGCTTAAAGCTTTTTAAAAATCTTTATATTTACTTTATTGTATTTTAATCATTCATAATATGCTTCATTTCTTTCTTAGCTTGTATATTTTAAACATACTGCAAATCTTTAAATGCCCCTTTTGTCATTTTAATGGTCTTAATTTGATATACCCTGTTTTAAAGGAGCTCTGGTAGCATAGTGGCTACGAATCGGGCTGCTAATCCCATGGTCAGCAGTTCGCAACTACCAGCTGTTGCGTGGGACAAAGATGAGGCTTTCTGCTCCTATAAAGATTTACAGCCTCGGAAACCCTGTACAGGGTTACTATGAATCAGAACTGACTCCACGGCACATAACAACAACAAACCCTGTTTTAAGTGTTTCTTGGTTTTCACTTTTGACTTATGTATTTAATTTTTAAAAATTGTAAAATGCACAGATATAATTAATATAATTCAAAATACCATACAATCTTCTCATTTAAAATATACAATCCAGGGGTTTCTGTTAAATTCAGATATATATACAAGTATCAGTCAATTTTAGAACATTTCTACCACCTGTACACCCTTGATCTATCTTCCCTCTATTCATCCCTCAGCTCTGTTGTTAAGTGCCATCGACTTGTTTCTGACCCACAGCGATCCTCTAAAGGGTTTCCAAGGAGTGGCTGGTGAGCTTGAACCGCCTAACTTGAGGATCAAACAGATTTTGCAGTCCAGTGCATTAACCCACAGCACTTCATCATGGCTATTCCCTCAGCTCTAAGCAACCACTAATCTATGTTGTTTAACAGATTTTCCTG